ATGCACAAAGCTAGTTTATCTACACTGTGCCAAAGGGGCTGTTTTGCAAAGGACACGAATGGGAGGAGATGTATCCTCTCATAAACATGGCATGGGGGAACAGTGCTAGTAAACAAAGGAGTTATTTAGCTTGATGCAGTAAATGGGTGTATGTATCTAATCCGGAAATACAGTAAATAATGATTACATTATTAGATAATTATTCATAATTCAAACAGATTTATTTACGCTGTCTTTATTCTTTCTTCTTGTACCCTTTATCTTGCTTGTATCTGCTTGTGAGTGATTTTCTATTGAGCTAAATGCCACGGAATGTGATACTCTCATTAGCTCACCTGTGTTGTATCACATCATTGAATAGGATGTGTCTTCAGAATCAAGATTTAAAACAGAAGCAATACTGAAAGGAGCTCATCCATCCCCAGCCAAACATACTTGCTTCCTTCTGTCTGACTGTTTATACAACCATGGTTCTGGCTGAAAAATTACACAACGCTGCAAACAGAAGCTTCATGTTCAACCAGAACAGAGTAACATCTACGTGAGCACTAGAGTCACTGCAATGAAGTAGGTCATGTATGCCAGGATGGTGGATAATGATAAGCAGTAAAGACACTAGATGCTGCACAGATTGTACATATAAAAAAGCAATATCCAGGAGAGAAAACAGTGCACTGAAGAGAGATGCTTTTGAGAGACTGCATGGAAACAACACTAACTCTAGAATATAGAAAATACGTTTCCTTTCTCAGCTGGTTTATGTCTAAGATTTTATATAAATCAAATAATATCTTTCACAGGCATCAGCCAAACTCAGTAAGAGACTTTGTTGTTTCACTTTTTGTCTAAGAACAAACAAAAAAACAACAAAAACAGCTTTCAGTGTCAAAAGTCAGTCTTCTTCTCATTAACGCATGAAAGATTGCTTGTACTGTAGGGTGAGAGACTGTAGTGATAGGACAAAGAGTAATGGCCTAAAACTTCAACAGAGTAAGTTTTGTACTAACATGCATTAAGAACTTCTTTATTGTAAACTGATGGAGCACTGGAATAGGTTGCCCAGAGGTTGCAGACTCAAGTCTGATCTGGATGCCCACCTGTGCACCCTATTCTAGGGTACCTGCTTCAGCACAGGGTTGGATTCAATGATCTCATGAGATCCCTTCCAACCCCTGTGATTCTGTGATTTAAGTGATGCTGGAAGAAAGTAGATTTTGAGAAATGTGCTTGTCAATAGTGATGAGTCCTGAGAGAGACTGGCATTCAGAGAAAATGAAGTGAGCACTTCTGATCACATCCTGCTTAGATTCAGCACTGTATCACACATACACTGCACTGCAGCAAATGCTACAAACCAAAACTCAACTGAAAATAGTTTAATTATAGATCCAAATCAGAGAATTGGGAACTGAGTAATCAATAACAAGCTTTGTATCTTCAGCATCTATTCCTTCTTCCACCTCCTGGTTTACATTTTTCTCTTAGCTGTATTTACTGTGACAAATCTGAGAGATTAAGAAAAACCAAAAGAAATCACAAATCTCCTATGACAGTGTACTCCATTTGACTTCAAAGAACTTTTATTTCCAGTAGGCTGTTCTCTTCTCTCGAGAATGGCTTTTACTTTCCAATGTTTCATTAGGAGGAAAAAAAAGAAAAAGAAGTCAAAAAACATCTCCCTTCCTTTACCCAAAGGGATTCAAAAAAGAGAAGTCAGTCTCCTATTGGTAGGATGCAGCTTCCCAGCTCTGCTGGCCAGCAGAGAATCTATTCTGCTCATCCCCACACCTCTTCTTGAGCTGTTGCTGCCAGATCCTGCAGCTAGGTTACAAACAAAGCAATTCCTTTCCAAACTCGCTTTTGAAGACTTTTAGATTTTTTACAGTAACAGACCTTTGTATTATGACATCCTTTCCACTGATTATTGATAGATTCATTTGAACACTTATCATGCTTATCTGGAAAGATAATCTTGAATGCAACAGCACAGTGTGGCAATAGTCAGAGCTCAGAGTTGGCCCCTGGACACATCTAGAAAGCATATGAATTCAAACGTTTCTTTTTTTAAAGGCAAGAGTTAACCACTGCAATGCAGAATAAGGACTGACATACAAAGTAGTTACCACAAACCAGCAGCTCTGCAGGGAGTATCTATGTACACACTGAACTCTTCCTTCTTGCTGTAAATGCAAGATATGCTGCTTTTAATTGTGTCAGACTTACTACTGGATATTATAGAGAAAACCATACACACACACAAAGCAAAACAACCACTGAATGAGGTACAATGCATCAATTTGAATTAATCAATAATCATTGAATTAATTTACAAACTGTGTAGCCCTTGTACCTCACCACTGTGAGTTCTTACACAAACTGTGCATGTGCAGATCTAACAGGCCTATGTTAATAAGTGCATTCTTGTGTTTTATGAAACATCTGCCAATCTGCCACTCTCCTGGAAACCATCACTGCATTATTCACTGAGCAATAACTCTGATGACTTGTAACATAAAGAAGATAATTATTTCCAAATTGCTGGATTTGTTGGAGAATTTTTTTCACCTTTTATTTTGTTTCTCACTGGATAACTTTGCAGTAAATCTGCAAATGATCTCTTATCGACAGCTGCATCAGACCTGACACCGTCAGATTTTCAAACACAGAGGTTATGCTGTGCAGCCACAAGGAGCCTTTTGTTGTTATTTTACAGTAGGTAGTAATGAAAGAATGATTATACCCACAAACTTTGCTCAAATTATTAGTGACAACAGCCTGTGCTGGGGAATGGCTGATTTTGCTAAGATTACTGAATCCAGTAACAAATGAATTGGGAGGAAATGGAGGTATTTCTAAGAGTAGCGGTATTTCTGGGAGAAAATGTCCTCATTGGGGAAGACAATGTCCTCTTGAGGGAAGAAAACAGGTCTTTCTTCCCCAGTATGTCATCCAATTGGGAGAAAATCTCCTCTCTGGGGAGAAAAGTGGTATTTCTGCGAGAAACTGTCCTCTTCTTGGTTGCAAGTGTCCCATTTGGTATTGTCATGGAGGACTGTTGGGAGAAAGCATGTGGCAGTTGTAAGAGAAGGGGTATTTCTGGGAGCAAATATCCTCTTTTTGGAAGAGAAGGTGAAATTTCCAAGTGAAAAGTATTATTTCTTGGAGCAAATGACATAGTCGAGGGAGAAAAGTGGGATTAGCTATCTCAGCTATGCAAACCATTCAAATTGCACTGCCTTTTGAAGAGCTTCACTCAGCACTTTGCAAGAGGTCTAACTACTCAAAAAACCTGTTTCTTTCGTCATCTCTGGTGACTTCAACTATTAGCAAGTAATATAAACTTTAACACGGAATAAAATTATTAAACATCTATTATTAAACATGAGACACCTTGGAAGAACCAAGACTGTCTGCATTAAGTACCTCTCAAGCTTCTTTGAAGAGCTCAGAAGCTCCATGGATGAGGATGGTTTGGTTGATAAACATAGCTGAGTTGCCAGCAAGCCTCCAACCATGTTCCTCGACAAGGCTTTTAAGGAAAGGTCCTTGCATGGTAGAAGAGCTGTTTAAAGTCTTTTCTTTCTGGTCAAGGTGCTCTCAGTAGACAAAGTTCACCAGCACAGCTCCTCAGTGACTTGATAGAGCTGCTGGGCTCAGCATACTAGGAAATGGTAGTTTAGTGATACTCAGTGTGGTGAGCACGAGGGGCAACAGACCGAACTGGTCATAAAATAGCAAGTAGGATTCAATGTAGGTAAGGTAAAATGATGTACAGGCAGAAAAGCAATTCTAACTTTGCACACAACTGCTCCTGCGTTTCTGAGCTGACCATCAGCACTCAGAAGTAAAACATTGACATTATGATAGAAAGTTCCCAAAGCATCAATTCAGTCCCCAGTAGAAATTCAAGACTCAAAGCAACTGTCAGGATTTTTGTTTTTATTTTATATTTACAGATTGCATTATTTACAGATATGGTACAATTTCCATTAAATAAAACAGGACTTTTCAGACTGAAAAAAGAGACAACTGGAAGGATAGTAACAGAGGACTGTAAAATCCTGAGCACCTTGGATGGTCACTGTTAAATTTTCTTCCAACATAAGGCTGAGGTAACATCCACTGAAGATAACAGGCAGTTCAACACAAAGAAAAAGAGGTGGCTCCTTACCCAGGGGTCAGCTGATTTCCTGAACTCCTTGCCAAAAGGTGTTGTGAAGACTAGACAATCTTGCAAAGTAATCTGTCCAATGTTTGCTAAATATACAACACCCATAATCAGCTTGAGAAGTGAAAATGGTCAGAGGCTGTGAGAACAGTGAACAAAGAAGCATTTATACTTGACCTCTTCTTAGATTTTTATTAAGGTATTCACATACAGTGTCTGCTGGAGATGGGATATTGAAGTAGATGGAACCTGGCTAAGTATACCACGGTCACTCTTGCTTTACATTCTAGTTACTGCTGTATGAAATAAACTCAGGAGAAGTACATTGATAGAAACTGCTATTTAGCTAGAACTGTTACCACAGAATGGCAGACAGCTCAGTCTACAACTTCTCAGGGTCAATATGATGGAAATCAGCAACGCCTTTAATCCCCAAAGAACACGCTGCATACAAAATGCTCAACTGCTTTTATCTGTAAGTTGCTCCTTCTTCTGCCACTGGGCCCCATCCACTTGACTGTTGGCCATTAAATATTCATAAGCATTGATAAGACCTCTCTCTAGCCTTCTCTTCTCCAGGTTGCACAGTCCAGGTCTCTCAGCCTTTCCAAAAACAGGAGATGCTCCAGGCCCTCAATAATCTTTGTGGCCTCTGGTGGACCCTCTCCAGCAGTTCCCTGTCTTTCTTGAACAGAGGAACCCAGAACTGGACACAGTACTTCAGATGTGGACTCACCAGGGCAGAGTAGAGGGAGAAGATCACCTCCCTCAACCTGCTGGCCACACTCTTTTTAATGCACCCTGAGATACCACTGGCCTTCTTGGTCACAAGGGCACACTGCTGGCTCATGACCAACCTGTTGACATTCAGGTCCTTCTCCACAGAGCTCCTTTCCAGCAGGTCAGTCCCTCACTTCTACTCATGCATATGGTTATTCCTCTTCAGGTGCAGGTCTCTGCACTTGTCCTTGTTGAACCTCATCAGGTTCATCTCCACCCAGCTCTCAAGTGTGTTCAGGTCACACAGCATTCTGGTGTGTCAGCCACTCTTTCCAGATTTATATGATCTGCAAACTTGTTGAGGGGGCCTTTTATCCCTTCATCTAGGTCAGTGATGTTGAACAAGAACAGACCCTGTACTGGCCCCTGAGGAACACAGCTAGCTACAGGCCGCCAACCAGATTCTGCACCAATGACCACAGCCCTCTGGGCACAGCCAAACAGTTCTCAATTCACTCCACTGTCTACTCACCTACCACACACCTCCTAAGCTTACCCACAAGGATGTTAAGGAAGACAGTGTCGAAAGCCTTGTTGAAGTCAAGGTATGTAATGTTCACTGCTCTCCCTACCTCTACTCAGCTGGTCATGACATCACAGAAGCCTACCAAATTAGTCAAGTATGATCTGCCCTTGGTGAATCCAACCTGTCTACTCTGGATAACCTCTTCTTCTTTCACTTGTTTGGAGATGACATCCAGAGTGACACTGGCACTCCTCCAGTTCACAGGCACCTCTCCTGTTTTCCATGACCTTTCCCAGCTGATAGAGAGCAGCTTGGCAATCATTTCTGCCAGCTTCCACAGCATTCATGGGTCCATCTCATCAGGGCCCATGGATTTGTGTGCAGCAAGTTTGCCTAGACGATCCCTGACCATGCCTTCCTTGATTAAGGGAAGCATTCTTTTCCCCACTCTCCTTCCTATCTCCAGGGTCTAGAATTCCCAAGGGGCAGCCTAAGTTGTAAAAGACTGTAGCAACAAAGGTGTTCAAGAACTTCATCTTCTCCATGTCCTGAGATGGATGATTGAAAACATAGTATAGAGTAGATCAGAAGAAATCTAAGCTTGCATAGTATTCTTATGAGTCAGGGAGATCCAAAACCCAACTTAAAATCAGGCCCAGCAGACAAAATTTATATCCCAAAAACCTTTCTACATTTAAATGAATACAAGAACTTATTCTTATATTTTAGAAAAACATGTTTTGTATGTTCAAAACTTTTCAATGAGCACATTGTATAGTTGGGGTGAACTTTGCATTACTTGTCAACAAGCAACTCCTACACATCCGAACTATCACTGAGCACCATGCAAGTGCCAGAGCACACCCCAGGCCCCATGCAATGATGCAGCTGAAGTTCAGCTGTTTTCTAAGTGCAGACTGCATCCCTTGTGTTTGCTGGCATTGCAACACAAAAAAGAAATGGCACAAGGGGGCGCCTGAAGCCTCAAATATCCCAAAGCTTTCACACCCCGTCTTCTCTGCTATAGTACCTCTGTAGTATTTCCAGTGTCTAATTCAGATCAAGAACAGACTGCACTGAGCAGGAACAGAAGAGGGCATAAAAAAGCCCCGAGCTGCATATAGCCTAACGTCAGTTTTGTTATTGTACTGACAATATTTTAGACTATTTTCATGACCTATTAAAGATTTTAATCTATTGCATATTACTTTCTGTCAGTAAAAGCATAAATTAGTTTATGTAAAAATAAAAATCCTAGCATAGGTGAGATTTAAATAGTAGGAAGTAGGAGAATTATCTTCAGAAAAAGCTAAGATGAAAGTCAAATTTTTTTGTCAAACTCAGCTTGGCAACTGCCCAGACTGTGGACTTTGGCAGATTGCTCTCTGGTTATAACAGAAGCCACTTCCTCTGTAGCAACAGTCATATCAACACCATTGTGTGCTGCCTGGGGATGGGCTCTGGGGTGTTTCAGTCCTCTGGGTGGGACCTTTGAGCTGCATAATGGTGCTTATGTAGAGCAGAGCAACTGGAAAACCAAAGCCACAACTCCCCCAGCAGCAGCCCTATGGGGAGTTCTCCTATGCGTATCTGGCTGGGAAATGAATCGGGGTATTTTTCTCCCTGCGTTGACCCTGGGAGCTCTGACAACCCTATTCAGCAAAGAGGAGGGCTTTGCCCAGGGTCCTCTACAGCTGCAAATGACTCACACTGGAAGAGACCCTTCCAATGAGATTTAAAGGGACAGAGTATTCCAGAAGTGTTTCATTTTAATATGCAGATTTCTATCATTTCAAACTTTCTGCATGACTGCTCCTGCTGTACAGCCCAGGATGGCGCATGCTGCATGCTTCAGGCCACAGCAAGAGCAGCAGGCCCAAGCCTACCTGCCCAGATGTGCTGGGACCTGCCTGCTCCCAGAGATATCCCCATGGAAAAACTACTCCCACACTCACTGCCTCCTCAGGACACTCCAGAGGAACAAATCACACATTCTGCTCAGTGTCTGCTGCTCTCCTGGTCACCAAAGAGCACCATGCAGACGGGGCCTTCTCAGTACGTTCCTCTCGCACTCAGTGCCCAGCCAAAGGAGCAGAAATGTGGCTGACACTCCTGCTCCTAGACTGCATAGCTTTGATGCTTCAGGGGTAGGCGGCTTCCCTGCCCATTCCTGCCTTTCCACAGCTCACCACGGGGTCACAAAGGTTCCAGCTGATCACTGACAGGAGGTGAACATGGACCATCCTGCAAGTCTCTCCTACAGAAGAAAGCATGAAATCCTTCTGCTGTCTGCTCCTCCTGCTTTGCTCCACGTGTCCATACAGAGGAACATAAAACAGAAGACCCTCCTACGTGGATCTACGTGAAAGTAGATCCAAAGTCATCTCATAGGAGGGCCAGGCCTTTCCTGCAGAGGTTGAGGAAGAGCATACAACCATGGTCCCCCCACCACTCTTGTGGTACACAACAATGACATCATTATGCTAATAAATAAGACAGGAAGCACAACCAAGCATAAAAACCCACTGAAACTGAATACATATGAAACACTGCCAAGAACACTAACGACTGCACTAAACAGAAAATGAAATAGTGTTTGGTTCATCTGACTTCTTCCAGTTTTAGTAATCTCTAGTGTCACTTGTAACAGTAAAATCCAGTCCTCAGAGAGGGTGCTCAGGGCCTTTCAACTCACATGGAAAATGAAGGTTTTTTTCCAAGGTGATGGTGACCTTCTAATGTCTTATTCAGTCTAAAAACTGAATTCAGTACTTTGACACCAGTCTAATGACCCACATAAAACTGGCTGGGATTTGCACTGAGTTACACTAGTTCATTGCCAGTGATATTAACCGGCACTTGCATTTTCTTTTTTTTTTACTACTACTTTCTCTGCTTTACAGAACAATGCACTGAATACCTCCAACCTCCTTCAGGATGGCTTGTGTGCCTAAACAAACCTGTCCAAACCTGTGCCTAGACTTGCCTAGACACAAGTGGCACCATGTCATCTCATCTGAATGAAAACATACAAACAGGATCATCTGAACCACACTTTATTGTTAAGAATTCTTCACATCGACCCTAGAAATTTCTAGGCAGATCCCAGAAGCAAGAAGCCAATCACATTTGTGACCCCTGCCTGGCTTTGGGCCAAGCAGCTGAGAAACTGAGCAGCAGTGCCTACAACAGGGCAGCATTCAGCTGCTGGGAGGCAACACTTCAACATCCTCAGTTTTCCAGAGAGCTATAAAACTTAGCGATACAACTGTGAGAAACAAAACCTGACCACTGACTGCTGACAAAGCAGCAGGTTCCCCATCCTGCTTCACTCATACTAGCCCTGGCACTCACGTGACTCCCATGAGAAGCCAATTCAGAGTCAAGAAGCATCAACTGGCTGCTACAAAGAAAGCAATCAGTTTTCTGCTTAATCAGCACACTCAGGTGAGCTCTCCTACCTGACTGACAATGCTGCAATCTAGGTGAGGGGAGGAAAGGAAACACGTTAACCAAGTTAACATGATCAACTTTGCTGAATCATTAAATGATGCACTACATTACTGAACAGGTTGAAATGAATTGGTAAAGACTCCCGTAAGGATATCTGCTTGGCTTACAACTCGTTATTACCAAGCAATTAATGTTGATTCCACTTAACTCAGCAGCATGCCCCATCTGCAAGTTTCAGTTAGTTTTAATAGCGCACAACCTGCTGAAGCCAAAGGGGCAGCTCGCAGCAGCCAGTCGGTGCTTCAATGCCACATGCCCTCCACTGAACACAGCTCCAATTTTCCAAGATTTCTAAAAAGCTCTTTCCCATATAAAACATGTTAAGTTAAATCAACGCTAACCTCTGAACTCTTGGAGCTGAGGTCATGGATATATGTCTCCTTTGATTTATGAGACAGAATCTGCACAGCATAATATAAAACGCTGCAGCTTTAGCAATGTACCATTGCCCTCAAAAGCTCGTTCATAAAACATAATTTTCTACAACATAAATGACCCCACACAGAAATTATGAAGTGAAATACAAGCAGGTGTTGCTGTTATTATTCACAAGACATTTTCAGTTCCCTGTTGTTGGATCTATATATTCTACCTCATGTTTGGAAAATACAGTAATTGTGTCATTACTCTCCCTCATAATTCAGCAGATCCCATAAACCCGGATGTATTAAAAATATAATTAATCTCCTCAAGCTTTGGAAAATCTGATCTAACAATCCTGTTTTTTAACACTCAAACATTTGAAATATAATGAATATATGACTGCTTCATACAGAAAATATGGTGAGAAACAAACAGCTCTCAGCTTTAAATAGACTTTGGTACAGAACACCCAGCAGCCGCGGGCCTTCCAAAAAAGTTCCAACCTGGAAGAGAATTAAAGGTCTAGAATAATCAGTAGTCCCATCTGTAGACTGGCATAACCCCAAGGCAGCCTGCTCTCTCATGCACCCCATACCCACCCAGCTAACAGGACCCTCTAGACACACGAGCTGTGCCCATCTGTGATGCTGACGTTACTCCTGAGTGCAGTCACTGCTGGCAACTCCACAGTCATCTGTGGAGTGAGTTACAGGCCCTGAATTTACAGCTTTTGATTTCATAAATGCATAACGCATTCTGAATGTTTTGGAAAGAAGTTAACCCATATTACCAACAAGCAAAATGGAAGAGTTATTTTTAACTTTAAATCTGTAGCAAGTAATTCTTTGCTTGGACTAATATAGGGTGTACACAGGCACATGAATTCACTGCTTCTGAGAAGGGCAGGGACTGGGCTGGCTTCTCTGCTCATGGGGTCACTCAGTACAGAACAAGAAAGGAGAGTTGCAGGCTTTGGTTTCTTCAGAAAACTGAGAATTCTTACTGCTGAATTTGTTCAAAGCTTCACACTAAGGCCAACTGCAATGAGTTCAACAGCTTCTCTTCAGAGTCACCCTGGAAGAAAGGTAATGGAAAAAACACCTAACCACACTGAGCCTCAGAGGCACTAGTCTGCATTCTGTCCCACACAGACCACAAAATCAACACTTCCCACTAACAGCCATCAGCAACGTGATGCCAGCCAGCCTGGAACATCTGCACATGAATTGATGAACTCTTATTGCCTTAACAAGCATTTCTGAAATCAGCCTCTGAAAACTGAAGTCTCCGTGCTGTGGTACAAAGTGGTAGCTCTAGCAGCTGAGACAACGCCATCAGATTCTGAAGTCTCACTGTCAGCACAAGGTGACTTCTACCACCACAATCATTACCAGGGTTAATGTCCTCTGGACAGAAAGAAGGACAAAAGACACCTGAGATTTGTGCTTTTATTTTTAGATGTGAAAGAAAATACCCTGAAAGGAATGAAGTCTGAAGGCTCCATGTCTTGATATATCTCATGCTGCATAATCCTGCTGAGCAGCAACCACAGAGTGAATTGGCAGGGCCAGCACCAGATGCAGATCATGAGGGAGCAGGTCTGGGAATGCTCCTCGCTGAGGCTGATGTAATATTTTGATTCAACACAGAACCCGAGAGCGTTCAAACTACAGACTGAAATTGAGCATAAACACTTTCAACAAACAGGTTGGACAGGACCACACAATCACTGAGATAGTCACATTACTGCCCACCAATATAACTGTTGTTCAAAGAAACATGGATGTAAAAAAAAGTCAGTTATCCAGGAACTCATTGCATGGATACACTGGGCCACTTCAGCAGTACTGTACAGTCACTGCTGGATACAACCCACTGCAGATTTTTGGCAGCTAGCTCCATGCCATGGGACCAGTCATTTACTGCTACGTGCAGACACAGAGAAGACACAGAAAGGGCGAGTTCCCCTTACTCGTAATCAGGTGAGCCCTTCCAAAAATACAGTGAAGGGGCTCTGCTGTGCCAGCTATTCAGAAGGAGACTGTTCCCCAGGACAGGGGCAGGCTGCACATCCCGCCAGTGTCAGAGCTGGCTCACTTGGAGGAGCAGCGCCAGGCCCTGGCCAGGGATGTGGCCAGCAGCAGCCAGGCTGCAGCATGCAGCAGCTCCACTTGAGAAAGCAAATCTTGTCCTGAGGGAACTTCTGTTTACTTGAATGCCTTCCCTTATAATCCCATTTTATGGGCCACATGTTTTGGGAATGCTGAACAGTCAGCAGACTGGCAGCAACTGAAGAGAGGTGATTCCTTTCAGAGAACTGCTGTAAAGCACAATATAGCCTTGAAAATTCCCATGGCAGGCTTGTGCTCAACAGCACTGTAACCAATGTTTTGGTCTTAAACAGACACTGAACTATACTAAGCAATATCAGTTTTATTCACTGTGTGTGTGTACATATACATATATATATACACACACACACACATACTGAATAAAATTTAAAATTCATCTTGAAACACTTTTTCCTGTTAGAAAATATAACACAAAAAACTGCACCTCACCTTTTAAAAATGTATTCTCCAATATAATAGTTTAGATGAAGCAAAAAAAAAAAAAGAAAAAAAAGACTGAGAAACTATTCAATAGCTTCCTTTCTTATGGGTAGGTCCAGATAACTTTTAAGTAGAATGGCAAAGATCTCAGCAGTGTGGGGTATGAGATCCAGACACCTCATCCTCCTTTTACATTAGCAAGTGAGCAGGGAGGAAGCACTGCCAAGACAAATTTACCAGGCTTGCAGCAAACTACATTCCTTGTAGCTCCTCTCTTCTCCCCAAGAAAGTAAATACCAGCATGGCTGCCACAACTTTCAGGCTCAAAGTACATAAATTATCAATTGATTCACAGAACTAATAAAACATCCTCAGCTGTTTTTATCAACATAACACCTTTGTTCTCTAGCCAGAGAGGCCAGTGTGTTTACTCCCCCCTCCCTCTATTTCAGTATGAGCAGAGTGTTCAGTACCTGGCAGGACCAAGCACTTGTTAAGCTGCTGGAGTTCATTTACATTAAGATTTTCCATATAGCGCTTTGAAAAAGGGACTGGACAGAAAGTACAGCGACTTATAATCCCGATGAACAATGGGCATTTCTGTGAACTGGCTTTCCCCACAGGATGTGGGGTGGGCCTTCTTGAGCTTGTGTAATCAGTCTGGAAGTCCAAAAACCACACACTGAAAACATGCTTTTCCTTCAACAAATACTCACACAGTCTAGCAGTAGTTTACATGGCTGTCATTCACCAGTAAGGAATACTTTCATTTAAAAATATGTGAAAAAACAATCTCAGTATCTCAAATGAGGTACATGGACGTTAACTGTATCTGATTAAAACATACAGCCCTTTTTGTCTAAACAAGAATTTTATTTAGGAATGGAAGCATAAGTTCTACTTCTAAAAAATGGTGTGAGGACATCACTTCAGGCAGAGCTTTACATACCAGCTCATGTTTTAGGATCACCTGAGCCCAGAAATGAAGACTCAAAAGGCAATAGCAACACTTGCATTCAAAACACTGGGAAACACAGATTATCCTATGAAATGGTCTCTTTTGGAAGCTGAATGTAAGATACTGCATTGAGAAATCCAGGCGGTCCTCTAATCCAAATCCTGCATCAACTCTTTCACTTCCTCAAAGGTGCACCAGAACACAGTCCACCACAATAAACAGTTTGCTGTACAAGGACTGGACCAAGTACAGCAAAGGTTAAAACATGGGAGAGAAAGGATTCTTCTTCCAGAGCTCACATCAGCACTGGGGTGAAAAGACAACACCAGATGAGAAGTAACAAAATTGCATGCAGGAGTAACGCATCATTTCATAATTCCACATCCAGAAAGCTTCTGTGTTCATATCAAAAGTTTTCCCATTTATCTAACAGACCACCCGAAAAAAAAAAACTTCCACTTGACCACAGAAATATTTCCATCACAAACACCGTAGAGACAGCACAATAAACGCATTAAGAGTCTTTAGAGTCAGCCCTGAACTTAAGCCCTGGGGGAATATGCTTCCCAGAAAGCAGCAGGCTGATATTTCTAAGCACTGCAGAGCATGCCACTGCTTTACAGAAATGCGAGATTTAATTGAGCGGATTACTACGAAAAATAGTATCAGTTATGTTTATTCTTTTCTCATGTAGTGAAGTTATCTGCCTGAAAGCATGACCACCCTCTTTCCTGTTTGTCCACCTCTTGAAGTTGTGACACCCTGTTTATTAAAAACGATCACCAAAGAAGCAGGGTATATATAAATTCTCCTCGAGTATGTTTGGGTAACAGCACAAGTCTTGTTTCTGACACTAGAATACAGTGCTGTAAGAAACTGTTAGGAATATTTCTAAGAACAACTGTTTAAGACCAGGTATGTATTTCACAATAGTCAATTGATACAGACTATTTTAAACTATGTTTTTTCATTACATATTTTCAATTCTGAGTGAAATCTGATAGTAATTTGAGGCTTTGCCACTGCTTCCAATATTCACTGTCCCAAGTAACCTTTCTGAAGTTGTAACTCTCTCTCCCGCCTGCAGACTTTCTTTCTGTAGGAAATTAGAAATAATGGAGTTTAAAATTGAGCAACTGGAAGAAAACCAATACAACTCCAGCATACTGAAACAACTTCTTGCACATTAACAGGTTCCAAATGATGAGGGCAGTGCAAACCTTTTCCCCACCTTTGTATGTTAATTAGAATTAGCATACTGTGTTCTTCTAGGCAAAGTATGAAGTGACAGACATTCAGTAATATTAGACATAGCACTTCCTGCCACACCCTGCAATGTTTTTGCAATTATCACACAATCTGAGCCAAAAACTACTACATTCTATGCATAACTGTTTGGCTTCTGTCTCTGAGCAGTTCTTGTCTGGGCACACAGGCTACACAAAACCAGCTCTGGTGGCTACACATGGGAAAGCTGTAAGAAAATCCCCACGGCCCAAGAGGAAGTGTAATTTCTGTGATTCACCAGCTTGCATCTCTTCCTGAGAGAGTGCACCAACCAGCATAAAGCAGCACAGCAGTAGCTACGTGAAAAAGTCCTTTTCCTGTCTGCAATGAAGATCCCATGACTGTTTCAGTTTGGTGTGACCGAGCCCATCTCCCTCATCAAACTCCACTACGTATTCCTTTACTACTTCAGGTACTTGCAGTTATGGCAGCATAAGGGAGAAAAACTTATTTCATGCTGCAGAAGGCATTTTGCTCCCAAACTAGCAGTGCAGATGAGCAGAAAAAGACACTTTTCTGCCTGGATGTACTGTTTTTTGATCCCTTTACTGGGAAAAAAAATATTTGTGTAATATGCTCATACCGCAGTCCACCACTTTGGTGAAGTTAAGCAACACATCTCAGTAAGTGCATACAGCCCAATGCACTGGAAGGAAACTGCACATTACAGTGATTGGACCAGGAGGATTACCAGCCATTTTCTTGCCAAAATAACAATAAAAAACCTAAGAGTTCTGTTAACATCACAAGCCTCAAAACAGAATTGAATTCCATTCTGCTCCCTACCGTTCCCATCTGGTTCTAATTTGCTAGAGAAGACTGAAGGCTGTATTCAAAAAGCATCAGACTGAGCTGTAAACATCAGCTTCTCCGCCAGCATTACTTGTGAAGGACTGGAGCTATCATGGAAAGGAGTGGGAGATGAAGCAAGACTTGCTGTGTCATTAAGCTCATTGTTTTAATTGCATTATTTCAACCCATGAAATGAAAGTGAGAAATGTTTGATGCTCAGAAGAAACATTTGCAGAAAATCAAGTTCAGCTCATCTCTAGTAACACTAGAAAATCAAACAGTAAGAAGTTGAGAAGTATCAGAACAGGCTGCCTGAACAACCAGACCTCTTGTTTTACAAAGTTCGTAATTACAGGCCACATGCTGTTGCCTAATTTTTTCCCTGTCATCTTGTAAACAAAGGGCAAAGCCTGTTTCATATTTGCTGTAGAAATAGTTTTGTTAAATTGTGACAAGCTAATGAGTCTACAACTAATAGCATCTTGTAGTAAATATTTAACAGGATGCCTTTGAGATTTTGCCCCCTATCTCTGCCTTAAATTTCCAAAGTGACAATTCCTGAAGCCTTTTTCATTAATAACTAGTGATTAGTTTCTCGTCACTTAAGCTCTTGATGCGAGGCACTGATGTGATGTGTGAAAACCCACTTACACTGCTGAGCAGAAGTGAATAAAATTAATGTTTCTGTAGCAACACAGGCTTGGAAGGTTTATGTTCTACAACATACAACAGCTCCATTCTATTCTGAAGGATTGTAGTTGGGTCTGCACTGGGCCCCAACTCGAAAACTGAGGTGTGGGAAAGAGTGCTCTATAGACTGAGCAGAGCAGTCTTTTGTTCAGTGTGCTCTCAGCATCCATCAACTCAACTACAGCAACGGAACACTGAGCTTTGATGTCAGAACAGTAATCTACAGGAGCAGAGAAGAGCAGCTTAGGTAACACCACAAACTGGTATTGCCTCCCACATCCACAACATGCCCTGACATCCCACTTCCCAGCTGGGGCTCATTAAGAGAGCTGGCAGCATCCCAGCACCAAGCCAAGCCTGCAGTCACCATCAGCTCGGTCCTACTGCTATCACTCCATACTTTGTTGTACTGACACAGAGTTCTTTCCTCCAACTAGCATCACCTCCATCATGTCTCCAGCCTCAAGGCCAAACAATCCCATCAACCATCTTAGAGATGTTTTTGTCAATTCTGTGGTTCCAGGCCCAGAGTTCTGCACTGACTTCTTGATGCCATTACATGACAACCATTTCATTTCAGCAGGCCCCCACACAGGACTCACTTTTCACTCACAGTTGCCTTCACCAACAGCCTCTCTACTTCCAGATTAGCTCTGTTCAAAATCATCATCTGACCAATTCCTTCCCTTCATGCAGTCCTTCACCCTTATTTGTTATGCATATATGTGAACCTACCACTTAGTTTCCTACTTATTATTGATCTTCCATCAAAAAACCCCTTTGAACCAAGTGGTTTCTTTTCTTGCCTAAACATTACTGTAATTAGAGGTGATTAACAGCAGCAGAGCACACTCATACATTCAGCTTAGAGTAGTCTTGAGTGCCCATTATATGAAGAATTCACTCAAGTCTCTTATAGATCTAGCTAATGCTATTTCCAGCCTGCAAGAGATATGTGTGAAAAGGCTTTGTTACACATGGCTAAACTGCATCTATTTCATACAGCTGAGGTATGTATAATCTGACCAGCATCAGGAATTGTGAAAGGCTCATTTTGAAACAAAAGCTTCTTAAGCCCCACCCACTACTTAGATACACTCCTTTCCCATGAAAGGATCACAGCTTGGAAAACATTTGGTAAGCTCTCATAAGCAAGAGCCTTTATTCTACAGCATGTAAACAAGAATGCAGCACGATTTCCCTGTTTGGATTCTGCTGCCTTCAAAAACAAAACAGCACCTGTAACTTCATCATTCAAACTTTCGGGAAGCTAAAAAGCTGAGAACAACACGGGTGGTGCTACCAGTCCCACTTACATTCAGACCTTTCAATACCCACAGACTCAAATGCAGTAGCAGATCCTACAGCTTAAAAGGAACATATGTTGACTTAAGCCACTGTCCTTTAGGTGATTTACTGCTGTAGTGAACACGCTGTTTCGTGTTTTCTTTTTATCTTTTCAATAGTAGTAGGCACTAGTGACTCACATCACACTTCATAGGTGTTCACACAGTTGTTACCTTATTACTAGCTTCTTATAACATTACCATAAAGACATTAAAACTACTTCTTGGCAAGAACTGCAGAGCAAACTAAAATCACAACAAGCCTGTAAAAAGTGTTCAACTGGCAACAAACTTCTTGCTTTTCATCTACAATTGAAAGATTTATCTGAGCAAAGTAGCTCAAGAATCTCAGTAGCCAGGTGACCACAGTGCCACGTCTCTTTAACACTGAATTAGTATGAATCAGACACTGGGGGATTAAGGCTTTTCTTTCTGTCTGTGCCTAAGCAGAGATGCAACCCGCTCTAAGTCTTTCTGGAAGCAGACATTTTTTCCTGCAGTTCAACATTTTCTCAGTCTGTATCCTTCTATACATAGCTAAAGCAGCTAATATTATTTTTTTTTTTTTTACTGCAGCAGAAAGAATCACAGCAAGCAGCTGAGATCTATCCAGTTTTCAAAACCAAACTTTAAGTGAAACAGAACCCCAAATGAAACTGTAAACCAACGTCTCCAAATAGAGCATGACCACCACTGCTACGTAAGAGGAAAATACACTGTGGAAAATACACCTACCACTGAAATGAAAGGTCCCTTATATCCACTAGTGACACACAGAAGCTGCAGGAGGAGCATGCTAAGACAAGCCTCCTGCTTCTAGCTATGCTCCACACACAGGGACTCCTATCCATGCCAGGGGTACCATCTATCTGCCTCCTGCCTGAGTGATTCCAGGCCTCTTCTGCACACATTCTGCAGTGCTAAGAAGCTTCACACCTCAGGTGGATTGCTGCAGACCGTTCTGTCAGGAAGAGAGATCATTTATATTAAGGGTACATGCACTTTGACTGCAAATATGACATCAATACAACACTCCAGACTCTCCTCTCACAGATTTTAACACCCATGTACCACTGCCAATAAACCTGTGCAGCAAGAGAGCTGTTGTTATACTATTTTACTTTTCAAAACAGCAACTACAGGTAGGAGGGTATGGTTTTTTGTTTGTTTTAAATTTCTCCCTTAGGAGAAAATCAGAGGGGCTACCTTGGACTTCCTCATACTGCTATGGTTCAAGCTGGCGATTAAGAATGTTTGGTTGTTGGTGGTGGCTTTTTTGTTCGTGTGCTGTTTTTTAAAAAGAAGGGAAGCAGTCTGACATAGCTCAGGTTAAACAAGTGCTGTTACCAGTACCCACAAATCACTCCTACATGTAGAAGCAACTTGTAGCTATGGATGACAAAGACACTAATGGCTGTTATCTACATACATTCACACTATACTACTGTGACATTCGGTTCCACCGATTTCTCATGTTGCTTAGGCCAGTGCACAGCATCAAATTTCAGCAATCAGAGAAGTAGATCTAGTTATGAGTTGTATCAACCACTTTTTGAGAGAAGCCATGTGTAACTCACAGATAACTGAGAAGCACGATGCCTTTGCGTTGCTGGAAAAGGAAATACTGAGAGGGCTGCAGTGCAACTGCAGTCCTGTCCTGCTCTTTCCACAACAGGTGAGGACAGACTGGCATCCTTCTTCAGCTGGAACTGATAAAGCAGCTCTGGGTTGTTTTTCCTCCTTGTTTAAAGTAACTGAGATTCTGGGGGAGGGGAAGACAGGAAATGAGCACTTTTCCTGGTCCCCAAACCTAAGAATAGCTAGATGGTACTGCTACAAGATTTAGGCCACACAAGCATTCAAAGAAGCATGAAATATTTATACTCTGGGCAAACAATCACAGAAGTCTTGCATTTTGCCCAGAATCTTTTTATCATTACCCAAACAGATCAGGAGGTTGTCCCAGGAAAGTTTACTTTCAGAGGGCAGAGATGAGCTGGATGTTATATTTTTAAACTACAGCTCTTTTTTTCTGTTCCTATCTGTGAAATCAGTTAAGCAGCAACCCAAATGACAGGACTCTGACTTGAGGACTCAAGCACTAACTTTCAGGCACCTCTTGCAATAAAGGGAAAAAAAATCAGCAGTTTTAACGGTTTCTCTTTCACATGGGAAGAAAAGGAAATAAACACCTTTGTATTTAAGCTGGGTACAACATTCTACAGAAAACTCAAAGTTAATGCAAACAGTGAAAAAGACTGAAAAGAACACACGCAGCCTGCTGCCACGGAACAGATTTTCCATGATTTCTACCCATAAACGTAAGTTGAATTCCTACAAACTGTAGGAAGTACTGTAGGAAGGACTAGTAAAAAACAAGTGATTACTTATATCCTCCAGACAGTTTTAGGTGATACAGACCACACACAATACTTTGGAGCATACTCAGAGGCTTCATCATCCCATCCACACATAACAAGGCTACTGATCTGGTTAGAACATCTGCCATTGCAGAAAGCTAGAGAAAGTTGAGTTTGGCATGAACACCTAGCTTCAAAACAGCACTGAAAGTAAAACACAGATCTAATTAAACACCTCACCCTTTTGTTTACTCTTGTCCAATCTTTCTCCTTTCCATCCAGCTTGTTTCTAGGCTTATGTACTTCACACTATCCATTCAATCACAGGAAACCTGCAAGCTGATTTTGCAAAAGTCTGGCAGGCAAGTGGGAATTCAGATGTAAAACTGCAGGTCTCTGATGAACTTAAGTCTCAGCCTGGTTACTTTCCTTTGATGTTTAGAAATCACTCACACTGTCATTAAGATGCCAACAAAACTATCTTAAGTTTCTAAATTAAGACCCTTAAACTTGATAATTAAAAATCTTGAGTAGATCTTATGTGCTACAGACTAGCTAACCCCATGGGACAGCAAAGCACACCTAGCTGCACCCACCCAGAAAATTAGGGAAGGAGATCACCAAGAAACATTCTCCTCACCCCATGGAAAAAGGGCTTCAAGTTGCCCCCTACCTCCAAACAAACAAACAAAAGAACAATCCAGGCTTTCCTGTTACACAACAACTAGCAATCATGTGATGTACAATGCAGCACAAGTGTTTGAAATAGGGATAGGTTTTCCATATAGAGAAGATCCTCCTCTAAACTCATTCAGTCATTTAAAACTTTGCACTTGCATACAGTGCCCCTGTTTTAATCAATTCTACAGTTTACTCTAGACATAGCCTGAAGGTACTTAAAAGTTGTATGTTGGTCAAGAAGTACACGTCAGGCCTGCTCATTTTCTGCCCAAGACAAAGAAATTTCACTCAGGTGGTTTTTTGCTCGTTTGTTTTTAAAAAGTCTCCAGTTAACAGTGGGAATACACTCTTTGCTTCAACCCATCTCTACTTTCACTCCTTCTTCTAAACGTACGCTTTGTCTTCTACAAGCCTTCATCATCCTCCCTCTGGTAGTCTGTAATTACTTGTGAGCATAGGTATCCACATGTACTGATATGCACATGTACTTTCATGCACTGAAGAACAGTTCGTTTAACCAGATTTAACGAACACCTGACATTTTTTCAAGTTTGCGTGCAAGAGAACGCATTTCATCCTTTCTTTTCTGCAACAGCTAAGAAGGCCAGGAGCCTCCTCTGAACAGGGAATATTCCATGTGCCAAGGGAGCTTATAACTGACAACACAAGTCAGATATGTTCTTGCTTAACTGAACTGTCAAAAAAACCTAAATATCAATGCTCACACATTAAACTAATGTAAAGAAAAAACAACCGAGTTCAACAAAGCACCTCATCTTTATTTATCATATCACAAGTAGAGCAAGATTCCATCTTAAGTGCTACGGTAGAAGTGTTTCTGAACAGTAGTAAAACTTATTTGCGCCAGGGCCAAATGGGCACATCCAAAAATCAGATTTGACGTAGAGTTTTAGAAAGGTGCAGAAATAGAAAGGTTTACTGGACTTTTTGACAACCAGTCATGGTTTGTTTGTTTTTCTCTGATAGTCTATATGGAGTGAAGAACACCACTGAACAGACTGATGATCCAGAAGGGTAGGAAGCATCAACTCCAGAACAGTATTTTTACATCATGTTGGGGAAAAAAAAAATGCTGCCTATTTTAAACTGTTACTTTATACAACCTTTAAAGGCTTTGAGTTTTAAATACGGAACAGCTTCACAGCTGTTCAGAAGCTGAAATATCTAAGTTTGCAAGATGCTATTTCTAGGAAGATGCAACAGATGTTCTGTACTTTTTCATATGTACATCTTATTCTAAACAGGATGTGGAATTTACTTGTAATGAGCACAATCAGTGTATAATTGCTGTTCAACGCTATTCAAGCAAAAAGGAGAAGCATAAGACACTTCCTGCCAAATACAGAGGCTGCCTATTGGACAAATCCATGCATTATGCAGCATTTAAAGACAGGCAGAAGTACCTTCCAGCAAGTCACATCTAGATAGGAGCAGCTACAGACAGTCTGATCTCTGCTTACTTTGTGCTGTGCTACTTACAAAATACATTGAAAGGATGATTAGTCAAGTAGGAAGTTTGAAACGTAGGCCAATAGAGGAGGTAAAGCAGAGCCTTGAGGTGAACAGAACAGACCCTGAGTGCTGCCTGAATATTCTCACCCACTTACTAAAGCAGGTAGAGCTGGTGGAACATCACTGCAGTATCACAGCGTTACTAAAATTATAAGACATGTTTAAGTGACATAAGCAGGAGAAAGTGTCATACGCCCAAACCCATCACCTTGCTTTGCTAACTGTAGGATGAGGCTATAACAGGTTTAACAAAAAGTTCTCCAAGTACGTTCTAGTTTTTGGCCAAGAGAGCAGAATCTGGATAATCAACACCAAGAAGAACAGAAGATAACTACTCCTATTTACCTGAACAGGATTACCAAGGAGTTATGCCACTGAATTAAAAGACAAGATAAACCAATGTAGCTAACAGCTGCTTGCAAGGCCAATAATACTTGCAGCACAATACCTGGGGGGAAATGGTAGAAGAGCAGCTTGCCTGTTCCAGAAAAAATAATAAAACAGAATTACACACAGTCAACTGAGAAATAGTGCAGGCCTAACTATAGCCTTCAGGATACAGTCCTAAAAATACTTTGTGACAACCATTCCCTCCCATTCATTAGGTCTACACTACCAACTGTAGTTTTAGGAATCACCTGATGAAAAAGCTGTAAGAAGTGCAGATTTCAGTAGGATGAATTTGCTCTCTATAATTCATCTTACAGCAGCATGATTTTTTCCTTCTTGTTCACAGTAGTTAGTCTCATTTGAAATATTCCTGCTCACCAAATTTAAAAGAAAGACAACAATCTAAATGCTTCCTTTGTATTCCCCATTTTTGCTCCAAACAACATTCTGTATATACCCTGAAAAGGTCCTTCAATTTCAGGATTCCCTCGGCGCTACAGCAAGAATGCTGAACACCTACATTCAGTGTTTGTATTACAGGTTTACCCTTAAATAGATCATCTGGGAAACAGAAGAAAAACCTTAAAGAACTGGTTTACTTGCCTATAAAGCCTAGCTGCATTTTTATGCAATTTTCAAAAGTCAATGGAAATTTAAGGGTATTACATGGTAGTATCACAGAATTACAGTAATACAGTTTCCACAAGTCTGCGGCAGACTAAGAAAACCTGCTACGTTCCAGACTCATCACAAGAAGTACCACCAAAAACATTCCTGCTATTAATATTTCTTGCATTTTTAAGTACAGCAAAGCAGGTGATTCGACAACCCAATTTCTTCTTCTTCATGTCTGGTTAGTCTGTCAGGTACCACAAATCTGTCTCTGGCTACAGACAGTTAAAGTCAAGAACTCAAAGGCCCACTGCCATTGCTTCTTACTTATAGTCATTTCCCCACCCCAGCAGAAATCAGCACAGATTCAAATTTACTATCTCTTCTAAAGAGGAGATACTTCAAATTCAAAAACTGCTGTCAGCTGAGCCCAGACACCGTGGCTCCTAGATGAAGTATATTCTTTCCTATGCTTGTGCAGAGACAGTAGACAGAAGTGTTTCTCAGAAGCAGTTTAAAAATAGGATCTCACAACTGCCTAGCATGCCTTTATAAGCTTACAATATGCTTGCTCCAGCATATGAGTACTGAGATGATGGCATGCAGCTCTGGGGATAAATTCAGTGTGCAGTTCTACCTTGACAAAAGCAACAGTTTCATTTTGTCAAAAAGCAGCCTTCTAAATCAGTACAGGGGTAGTAACAGTACTAAAAAACAGCTCTTAGGAAGTCTTAATTTTAGAAGGCCCGCTGTTTTTCCTGGAGGGACATCTTCTCCTGTCTCAGATAACAGAGCAGCACAAAGATTACCGCCCAAAATGAAACAGCACAAATACCACAGTTCAGCACTTAGAAGAGAATTATCCTGGTCTAAGACTGACCCAAAGCTACAGCTTAGGTTACACTAAAAGCAGCAGAACTATAAATCCCGAGTTCATTTTTCACTTCACTTAAATTTAGAGAACCACGTGACAGTGATCTAATCACGCAGGGCAGGAACAAGACAGAACTAGATGCCAAGTACCTATTTTCCATACAGCTCTTCCCCTCTTCTTGTGTTCTCCCCACTAGTTTTGACAGTGACTCTCCAGATCTGCTGCACAAGTTAGCCTTGGACTCACATGGGTTTGGTATATTGCAACTGTATTAACACTGCACCCAGCACCTACCAAAGACCTGAACATATGACAACCAACCAGACAGAAGTGTATCACAAGCTTCATCAACACGAAGTTTCATTAGTTGTCAATCTACTAAGGTTAGCAAGAAGGAAACACGATTGTAGCCAGCCAGAAAGCTTCCCACTCTGAATACAGCATTCAGTCATCATAATTCTATACCTTTGAATAGGCCATGCTGACAGGACTACAGCAGTCTTCTGAACTTAATCCTTTCTGGAGACATCATGCAGTGCTGCACTCCAGCTGCACTTTACTGTTGAAAAAGAAATGCTGCATATCTGCACATCGTTAACAAGCTGTCAAACAGCGCTTCCACGCTTGACCACAAGTGGTCAACTGTCTGGAAACTGAAGTCTTGATCCTGTGGTTGTTCCCCATCCCTCTGAAAAAAGTTGCCTCCAAACAAGTCACTCCAAGAAGTTTCAGCAGAGGTAAGGAGCCCATTCAGTACAATGCTTTGTAACCACACAAGTACAAAAGCTTTGTTTGGTTCTCAAACTTCCAAACAAGAGAAACACTTCTTTGCTCTCCCTGTGACAAGATCACCTTGAGCTGCAGCTCCGGAATCCTGGAGCTCACAGCTCTGTAACTTCCTCACTCCAGCACAGCCTAACTCTCAACAAGCAGCAGTATTTTCCGTTTTCTTCCTACAAACCAGAAAGAACCACTGTTGTGTCTCTCCCACTTCTACCTTAACAGCAGTTGAGGAATAATCCACTTGCTGACTATTTCCAGCATCTTCAAAGAACTATTATTGACAGGACGTCTGGGCTAGCAGTATATAATCAAGTGAGAATACTACCTCACACATTAAGAAGGCCCCACCAGCATGCTGGACCAGTGCAAACCCTGACTAAACCTCAGAAGCTGACACAACAAGTGTAAGCTGTGTAAGCTTGCCCCTCTCAACTATTTTCATTATATTTTTTATTTTTACTGCCAGCCAACATCTGGTCCTTCTTACATAGAAAAACCCCTGCTGTTCCTTCTGAGTCAACTTTTTTTTTTTTTTTTTTTCAAAAAAGTTTATCTTAACACAAACCCTCAAGTTACATGCAAAGGATGTTCCTGTCCTGCTGCTTTTCAAACAGTCCTTCCAAATCCAGGTGGAAATATCTGTTGACACTGATTGGTTTCCGCTCAGTAGAAAGTCATTGGACATACAAGCAACACATATTAATTTGACAGATGACCCTTGTGACCCACTGAGACCACAAGCTTTTTAAAGATTATCTTAGAACTCTTCCAGTACAACTAATTCTTCACCAAACAGCCCACTTATTAAATTACCAGTCACTTTAGGAGCACGAAAGCCTTCCTCGAGTTCCATGCTCTTCCAATAAAATAAGCTCATTAAGTCCCAAATCCTGTGAACTCTTAACTGGAACTCTTCTTTCCCAGTTTTAGCCTAGTCATTTTTGTAGGTTATCCTACCAATGCAGGTCCTACAACTGCAGATCAACCTAGTACTGCCTTGCATACACTTTTTTTTTTTTTTAATATTCCTGACTTCTTAGGCAAGGATTATAGTGATTCTGACTCTATAGGTCAAATGCCTTTAGGATTTGCCCCCTTGATTTCTTAAGAATTGCCCCTTTAATGAGGAAAAAAACCCAAACAGGTAAAACTTGTACATCTCCATTCTTTCTCCCTGCAGCTGCTTCTTCCTATTCCTGCTCAAGTAGGAGTGTTTGTGAAGCCAACATTCACATTAAAAAACGATCCATTATAATCAGGCTTACACTAAATCTGTTCTCCTATGCCACTTCCCACATGAACACTTGTGCCACTACAAAAAAAAAAAAAAAAGGGCAGCATAGAAGCAAGAATGAACAGCTGGGAAGAGGTACAGGATCATCTTTCAGCATGAGCACTGCTTCAACTATGGCATTAATGCACACTCGGATCTATTACATTTCGTATCCCCCTCTCCCTTCTCCTCTAAGTACCCTTGAACTCTTGTCAGTCTTTGTATGACTAGTACTGTAAACTGTACTGTTTAAATAACAGGTTTTAGCAAAAGCACAAACCATATACACATGCACAGACAGGCTACCGCAGCAAGTCAGAACCACAAGTCTAACTGCTGGAGAACAAGCAGTCAATTGAAATGCCCTCAGTAAAAGGGAAGAATTACAGTTAAGTAGAAATTGTTCCTCCCTCTGGTTGGCTACTATAAATACAAGCTACTCTTTAAATACCTCCCTCTCCTACAGCTCCTCTCCTTTCCCATACCTTCCAGATAAAGGCACAGCTTACAGACTGGCCTTCAAGCAAATCCCCTTCCCGTAGGTTTGTCTCAAAGCAGTACATGCGTTTGCTGTTATTTATCTGCAGCAGAAGTCATTTCAGAAGACATCACAGACACAATTTCAAGACCATGCTGCAACACCACCAGTCACCACTTCTCAAAGAAGACAGTGCCTCCCTGAAAACAACTAGCAAGACTGCCTTGAAACAAACAAAATTATTAGAATATTTCATCATTCCTGTTGTTCTATAAGAACATAAAGACTCCACAGTTCAAGTGCTTCTACAACAAGCTACCCATTAGACAGAACATTTAAGAAAGTCCACCTCTTGATTCCTAAAACAAAATCAGGTATTAAGTACTGCCTAAAAGGTTTCTTTAGGAATTAAAGCTTTCTAGTACAGAGAAACCTTTGATTTCTGAGTATTCTGAGTTACTTATATAAGAATGTAATTATTCAGATTGTTCCCTTACAGTGAGATAGATAACTGCTCCCCACTCTGTAATCACAGAATGCAAGCCTAAATGCAAGTGCTAATCAAGTAGAAATGTGTTTTTTGTCATCTTCAGTTCATACTGATGCTCTCTACTAGTACATATCCAAGAAAATATTCATGTCCGGTCCCCCAAAAAATCTGTTCTATCTCGTAAGAATCACTGTGCTCTAGAATCTTTTCTAGAAGATTCTACTACAAAGGGATTATTTACCTTGTTGCTATAGTATGTCTATACATGAAGAAGCAATATTCCAGTCACTTACATGTTTGGTCAACAAACCAACGGCCTCCTCCTAAGCACTACTTCCAGTGCTTCATTTTTCTGAATAGCGTTAACAACCTCTAGGATCAAGAATCCTGCATAGAACTGGCTGCTGTGAGGCTCAGCTGACAGCCACCATCTGACGTTCAAAAAAAGGGGGGTTTCTTTCAGGAAACAGTGTACATCACAGAAGTTAAGCTCAGAGGAGATTCCAAACTTTAAAAAGCTTTGCACTGTCATCCTTTATTACTGTCTCCATTTCTTTCCTGGTACAAAGGAAAAATGCAGCACTATCAGATGTTCTCAAGCCCACTGCTCCCCTCCCTAGCTCACATACCCTGCAGGCTCTAATTGCAGCTAATATGGACTGCGTACAGCAGCTCTCCATCCCCAGCCGTTTCTTATGCAACCAGACTCCACCTCACGTTACTTATGTAACACATTAAGTAGCGTCTATTATACAGGATTCTTCTACATTAGTCACATACTCAATAACTTCCATTCCAGTCGTTTTAACATAATGCATCCACCAGAAATTGAAGCTTCATGCCTCACCAGGTTCCACTACACAGAAAAGAAACAAACCACACCAGTGAACACGTTAACATCTGGAAAAGCGCTGCCAGACGTTTCTAAATTAAGAAATCACCATCATTTGCCTCAGCAATTGTAGCTGTTAAGTCTGCTTGCTGGGTCAGGTGCAGAGGCTCACTTTAGGTCGTAACACATGAAAACGAGATGTGGGAACCAGCACCAAACTGCTCCGAAACCACGAGCAGCCCACCCTACCAGTACAATGTGCTGCACTCCTTGAGAAGAAAGACGGGTTAGAATTGGAAAATGTACATTTTTCACGCTCCCCTCCCCCCGAATCCTGAGATAAAATACAGAGCCAGAAAATATATTTTAACGCAATGAAACCCTACGCCAGCCTTGCGCTACCAGATGCTTCTCCTGCAGCAAGACAAGGGAGCCCGCAGCACCTGCACGCCGCAGGCCCGTTTTCCCTACGTACACACCAGGATCCCTGCGCTAACGCTGCAGGCCCTCTACGGCCTAGCTGTAACGCGTGCCACATCGCTCCCCCGCCAGGATCCACCAGCACACACAGAACGCTGGCGCTGCCTTTCCCACCCACAGCGCTGTTCCGACAGAGCAGAGACGTGAGCAGGCTCCGGCCCTTCCCTCAACCCCCCCGGTGCCACACGCTCCGCCACGACGCCGCACAGCTGTAATGAGGTCACTTCACAGGGCCCAGAGCCTCCGGTCGGTTACTCGGAGCCTGACTTACATCGGGGAGGGGAGGCCGAGGAGGGCGCTACGGCAGCGGAGGGCGGACGGAGGGCCTCCCCCCAGCGCGGCTACACCCGGGAGAGGGGCGGGGAGGAGGGAGAGCGACGAGAACCTTCCTCGGCGGCGGCTACGCCCTCGCGCGCGGGGTTACGGGGGGGGAAGGGAAGGGGAAGCGACGCGGCAACGGCAGCGCTGGGGGAGGGGAAGCGCGGACTCTCCCGAGCGCCGCCGCCGCCTCAGCCGCGTTGGGCGGCAGCCAAAGCCCACAGGAATGCAGCGCGGTCACATGACCTCCGGCGGACGTGCGGCTCCCTTCCCTCTCCAGGGACACCCTGCGCCATCTTGGACTGACGCAGTTACAAAAGCAGGCGCAAACCGCTCCTCTCTCTCTCGCTCTCTCTCTTCCCCCGCTCCTCTCCTCCCGGCCCCGTTAAGGAAGGAGAAGCCGAGGCCTTTTCCCGCTTTCCTTTTCGCCGGGGATCCCCCGCCCGCGCCGTCCTCCCTCGCGCTGGGATCATGGCGCCCGTTTTCTCCCTTTGCACCAACCTCCCCCGGCAGCGCCGACCCTGCCCGGCTGCGGCGGCCCCTGCTGCAGGATGATGTCAGCGCCAGCCAATGGGGGCGCGCCGTGCCGCCCGGCGGGGCCTCCGATTGGATGCGCGCAGAGCCCGCCTCCCCCTCCTGCCTCAGTCCCCGCCGCGGTTCGCTGCGGAGCCGCAGCCGAGGCACGAGTGGGGGAGGGGAAGAGGAGGGGAAGGAGAAAAAAAAAAAAAAAAACCTACACAAAAAAACCGACGACCAAACCCACCGAGCCGCCGGCCGCCATTTCGCGCAACAACAGGCAGAACCCGAGCGAGCAGCCCCGGCCAAGCACCCTGAGGAGAGAGAGAAAGAGAGAAACAAGAGACACACGCACAGGAGAGTTAGACAGGAAAAAATACCCATAGACTCCGCCATGTCACAAGACGTTTAATCGCCCCCCTCCTCCCTCAGGCTCACTGCCCCGCCGCAGCCGCCTCCGCTGCGTCCGAGCGGATCCCTTCACCTCGGCTCCCTCCTGCCGCAGAGCGCCCGTTAGAGCCCCAAGCTCTGCCCGAGGGGCGGGGGGACGCTTAGGCTACGGCGCGGCCGCTAGCGGCTTCTCCGGTCACCCGCGTGTGGCGGCTCCATCGAGGCAGGGCAGCGGCTGCCAGCCCCGCTTTTATCCGGTGCCCCGCGTTTGCGCACTGAAGGAGGCTCGCTCAGCCCCTGGTGGGCGTCGAATGAAACCCCAGCCGCCGCCTCCCCTCCCTCGCTGCGCCGGAGGGGCTGAGGCCGGGCAGAGCGGGGAGGGGACGTGGCGGGGGGAGCGGCGGAGCCGAGCGGCCCGCCCGGTCCGCACAAAGCCGAACGTTCCCCCCGCGCCGTTTCCTGGAGGAGAGCGGGGATCGGCGCCGGAGGGAAGGAGCGCCGTTCCCGAACGCTCTGAGGAAAAGAGCGTTGTCGCCTCAGCCCCCGGCAGTCGCTCGGAGCCCCGCACCGCCGCGACGCGGGCCCGCTCCAACCTCCCGCTCCCCCCCCCTCCTCCATGCGGCTCTTCGTGCGCTCCGTGAGGAAAATTTACCCCTCTCTTTGAGCTTAGCGACGAGCCGACGTAGCTGAGCGTAATGCCGGCCGCCAGCAGGACGCCGGGGTGGGTGTCCCAGAGAACGAGCCTCTGAGTCGATCCTCCCGCCGGCGTTCGGGGCCGCGCGCCGGACCCCTCTCGCCGTTCCTCCCCCGCCCCGCGCGCCCCCTCGGCCCCCAGCCGCTCCCGGGCCCCCGCCGTTCTCTGTTAAGGCGCAAAGAGCTTTTGTAAAATGGACACTGAGCGCTCGGCGGGCACAGCCCGCGCTCCAGCCCACAAGCAAAATGGCGGCTGTTTGGCTTCGCCTTGGTAACCCTGCCCCTGCCAGGCGGGGCGGGTGAGCCCCGTGCAGGGGGAGGGAGGGGAGAGCGGACGCCATTTTCCCAGAGAGAGGCAGTGACATAGAAGGGAGCGTAGGAGGCTGAAAGGAGGGAGACACGGGAGCAGGGGCGGCAGCGGGGTTTGTACACAGGTCCCGAGGCAGAGGCGCTTCTCAGCCGGACCCCGCCGGGCGCCGCGCACTCAGCTGGTGCTGGGGGAGGAGGGATCTCCCCGTTCTTTTCTTTCTTTTAGCAGAGTGCTGAGGGTCGGTCCTGCCCAGGGCAGGGCTCTCCGCAGCAAGGCGGCTGCAGCGGGCTGGGATAGGAGGGGGCCCGGCTGAGGGGTGCTGCTGTGGGCCTGTCACCATTCCAGGTGAGTCCGTGCTCGTTGCCACCGCGTTCTGCCGGGTGCTGGGGGAGGGGGCTGGGAGCAGGGGGTGAGTGCCGTAGGACGGCTCTCTGCCCCGCTGACTGGGGCTGCCTGCCCCCGGAATGGGTTTAGATTCCGCTGGAGTTGCCTCGCGTTCGTTTTTCCTTTTGTGGGCTTTGGCTAAAAAATGGCAGACTGTCGCTATAGCTTGTGAATATGGCGGGTTACTGTAGCTGGAGGAGCTGAGGGGAATTTTTTGGCAGTTCTGCCAGATTTAAGCATTATGCCTGGAGAAAGAGCCGGGAGAGGCTGTTAGGTGAAAACAGACCTTCCTCAGGCGGGTGGGTTTTATGAAGGGGTTTGCGTGTTATTGGGACTGCGTATCGAGTTGTATGAAGCTCAGGGAGATCTCTCTTCTTCCTCCATCCTGTATGTTTGTGCTTTGTGACACTAAAATGGTCGTTGTAGGCCTAATCTCCCTGCCTTCCACACCCCCGCCTCCCCTCTGCCCCCTGCTCCTATCTCTGCTCCTGGGTAACCTGGTGCAGGGAAGCTGTCCTCAGGAGTTTCTGTGCCAATTTAAAAGGGGATCGTTCTCCCCACCCCCTTTCTCGGGGTTGTGAGTAGTGATATTGGCGCATCCCTTTCTTGCTTCTGTGCCTGTAGCCAGCGTTCGCCTTGCTAGGCTGGTGGATTTTAGTCATAAGGAAATAAATGCTGGTGGAGCAGCCCCTGTCGCTGCAGACATAGGGGAGGGGGAACAAATGGTTCACTGTACGGTTCTAAATAGGGTAGAGAAATATAATACAGTTTGATTACAAGGGTCCTGTATTCCCCCTATACTCGGCCATTAGGGACGCGCGGTGGCCAGGAGTCGGGAGGTCCCTAACATGGTGCGCACCGTGTCGCTGAGGGCAGGGACTCAGTGCTGCAGCTAGGTTCAGGAATGTGTTAGTCTGTTTATTTACAGTATATTGAAGGAGTAATAATGAAATGTTGCAGTTATTGAGGGCTTTGCTTGGAGAAAAGAGAGATTTATCCACGGCCGTAGTTATAATGCGTAATTAATTGATTACAATGACCATACTTTTAAAGTTACTTTACAAAAAATGTGGAGTAAATTTTTTAATTTCCCTCTTTTGTCCTTTAGAGATTCTAAAAATGGCGGCCTCAGGCTGATGTTGTGGTAATCTAATCAGCTTGGGTCCTCCACACCCCATGCAGCGCGTTTGTCTGCAGCGTATTACAGCCTTATTCTGTTAAAATGAAAAGACCGTTCTCTTCAAATAACACACAAAACATCTCTTGACTTTAGTGCAATTTAAAAATGCTGTGTTCCAGCTGATTAATTTTATTGGTTATGTGTGTGAAAGGCAAGTGAACGAGACCACTCTTGTCGGGGAAGCGGGGGGTGGAAAGAGGCAGGAGTGCTTCTCTGAGGGGTGTGTATGGGTTGCTGTAAGGTGGTACGTCTGCTGGTGTAGTAATTTGGAAAAGCTCCTGCCTTTGCAATAGTAGGCACCATGTATCTGCCCATCCTCTTACCAACCTAAAAGCAGTAATATTTTTCAACCTAAGGAAATTCAGATCACTAAGTCAGCCAAATTCTGGGTGGAATCACATTTGTGACCGTCATGTTCACCTTCCAGGAAATACTTTTGCTGGACGTTGGGGTGGTAATCCCCTGCCTTCATGGTTTGGGAATGCTGAAAGAACTTACTGCTTTGGGAAATAATGCAGGCAGGATTATAACCTGTTACTCTGTTAAAGACGTAGAATTTCAGGTACCGTGGAATCTTAGTATTAGGCTTTTTCTTAATTTGTATATTCCTACGTAAAACGTATGTATGGTAATACGCATACATTTGTATTGTACTGAGTGAAAGTGCAATTCCTAACCTCTAATTTTTTTCCAAAATGAAATATGAACCTTTTACTATCACCACTATAAATATGTTTGGGTGGGGGGAAGGGAAGTCACAAGGATTTGGTGGTTGGTGTAGTGTGCTTTGATACAAACTATAAAGCCTACAAACTGCATGTTCAACCAGCAACAACAGAAAAGAAATTCACGTTTGCCGTTTTTGTCTGCTTGTCTTTAATATTGTCCTCGGTTTGAAGAGATGTGAGTCTGTATGCCAGTATAGCTTTAGAAGCTTCTGGATTGAAACAATCAAAAGTGAAGTACTGAAATGGCAAAATTGTCTTCAGTCTCTGAAGGACTTTAATTTAGATACTACTCATATATATCACAGCACAGATGCGTGGTTTAAAGTACACCTGAAGTTGAACGTCAAGATGGGAAGACTTTCGGTGTTGTTAACACTTACCTTTTGCGTGCTTTGAGGCCAAAAGCTGTGTGATTTCAACCACCAAGTGAGGCGTTAATGGGCCAACAATGCACACTCCCAGTGATACCTTCCTCATATTATACAAATTCTATTTATTTATTTGAATTATATCACATCTTACTCTCTGCTTATTAGAAAGGACACAGATACGGTTCTGAAGAATTGTAGGTATGAGCCTCTTGAAAAAACATTTGTCTTTTTTATTTCCTCTTTCGAGGTGTTTTCTTGATTACTTTTTTTAACATCACAACTTGGAGGGCTACACCGCTCTATTTCATGGCCTCAGTCATGTTCTTGGGCAGAGGTCCAATTCCAGATTAACGTTAGAAGAAACAATTCTGTACAGTTTACAGAAAAGTAGTGTTGGGGGAAAAAATGAAATTCAGAAATTGGAATACCTAAATACAATTGCTATGGATTGCAGGTTTTGTGCATTAAGGCCTTTTTGGGAATTTTGAGGTCTTCCAGCTTTCCTGTATATGTTATAGTGAGTCACTTTGTCTTTGTGACTCAGTTTCTCCATTTGTAAAACAGATCTGCAATCTGAAAACAGACCTGTCTAAGGAGACATTAGAAAGGAAATTCCAGCTTTATTTTGATGCTGATTTGTTCAAGTATATATTTGTCAAAAATATTTTCCCAGCGCCAACTAACAAAAGTTCTGGAGAGAAGGTTTTCAACCTGAATTTTTAAAGAGATTTCTAATTTGCAGACGTTCTACTACAATTGCAATTTTAATGTGTTAAAATAATACAGAGGTCACACAAGTGGTTTTACAACTGTCTTTGGGTTTTTCCTATCTGCAGGAAAAATCTGCTCAACTGTCATGGTTGTTGTATGCATTTTGGGTAAGCTATTTGCCATCTCAGAAGCTTCAAAGAGGAAAAAATACTGCCTTTTGAAGCTGCACGTAGGGGAAGTTTCTTTTAGTACAAAAATTCAGATTACTGTTTGGAGTTCCATTACCTCAAATCTCTGGTTAGGTTTCAGTGCACACAACTGGGTTAATAATTCTGCTGAAGTACAGTGATGGGTGTCATGCTGGATGGAGGCTGTACAGTTGGAAGGCTGATCCCGGTTTGATTTAAGAACAATCTTAATTTTAGTAAGACTGCTTGTGGGATTTAGTTAAGGAATGATGTGTGTAACCACTGAATTATGCCACTGCTCTAAACAGATGGATTATAAAATTCTGACATCTTCATATAAAAATCTTAACAAAATTGAGTGGAGTGATGGGGATATAAAATAAAAGCCGATTCAGAGTTCCGAAGTGATCCTAAGCAAGTCCAGCTATGCTGCTGGTCTTGTGACTTCCATACAAACAGTCGTTTGTGAATTCCTCTCAAAAGCAAATTTTGTTGGACAGTGTTTCTGGAGCAGGTACTGTGTTCAGATGTTTCCACTGTGCAAACAGTAGTTTTGATTTATTGCTAAGAATGAAATACAGCTTTTTTTTTTTAAACTGAGGTGCCTTACTTGCTTCGTGTAGAATGCACATGTACAATGTGAATTAAGGAAGGAAAGAAAAACTCTTTTTATTTCTTATTCTTTCAAGTTCTGGATTATTTACAGTGTTAGTTATAAATTAGGGCTTTTTAAGGGTGTACGGTGAATGTTTCATACAGTCATCTGCTTACTAAAAAGAACTTTACCCTTAAAAGTTGACCTAATCTCTTTCAGGATCCAAAATTCTGCTCGTGACCTACAAAAAAAAACCCTGCTGTAATCAAGTTCAAAGACAAAACGGTTGTTACCTTTAAGGCATAACAAAGAGCTTATTTAAAAGAAGCCTTGTCAAGGTTTCATGTATTTGCTAGCAGATACTGAGATTATTTTTCTTTCCTTTTGCGAATCTTAATGTGTTAATGAAACTGGCAGGATTTTAAACTCTGCAGGTTGTTAGAAGATTTTAATAATTGAGACTGTCTGTAAGCCTTTGAAGAGAGTTTTGTTGTACAAGGTTGTACTTTTTTTTAACATCTGACTTAAATTTTGTTTGTTAATTTTTTCACAAATCAAAATATTTGTAGGACCTGTGTTAAATTGGTGTCCACTGAAGTTGTTTGCTTCAAAAGCGCAAATGAAAAATAATGGCAGTGGCATGCAGATTGCATCCTGTGCAAGTGAAATGTTCTAGTTTTGCATATTTTATTGAAGGAATGCTATCTCTCCTTTCATGTGATAGTTTATACACAGCTTAGATTAGCACACAGTGTTGTAAAACTTACATGAGGCTTGCAAGGCACCAGCAGTTTGGCATTCCATCCTAGGCCTGATTTGCCAAAGTAAGAGAGATTCTAGCTTTAGGTTAACAGCTTCTGAAAGATGTACGGATTGAAATGTAACATTTCAGGTGCAGATAAGATTTTTAAGAAGTTTGTTCTCATCTGTAGTCACATTCTGTATGTTGTGTTATGGCACCATAATGTAGGTAATCATTCACTTTGATATCTTTATCTTAGAAAGAAATGCTGTCAGGTTCAAAGAAGGTATTACATGAGTGGATTTTAATGATGTTATCGTAATTTAGATTGCAGCTTTTAAAGAAGGACCTATAATCTCTTGTGCACTGTTGATTTTTCAAGAATAGATGATATGGAAAATGGTTCAATGACCATCCCATATTTCCAGAATGAGAATTGAAGGCATGTATGGGATGTAGGTTTGGATCTTTTAACTGGAGGAGTTCTGAATATTTAAATTGATTCAGTGTTCATTATTTCTTAACTGTTCTAATTGGACTGTGTCTATAGATAGTTTGTTGGTTTTTTTCCCTTTCACAGAGGGTGATGCTCTTATTTTGCTTTGAGTAGACAAAGGAGCGAACTCCTAATTAGTATGGTTATAATGGAACTGTGTTTCAGTATCACAAGACAGCTGATATTCCAAGTCTAGACAGTTAATCCTGTCTTAACTGTTGGTTTGAAGAAACTTTTTTGAATGAAGTGTTTTTGGGGTATTACTACTTAAACTGAAACTGAAGGCTTGAGAATTATAGCAGTTTATTTAAAGTTTTCTTGGGGAAGGTATGGTGAGATTACACCTCATTCCTTTCTGAAGGTGTTGTAGAACTGTGAAGGAATTACTACTGACTTTATACGTAATTGATTTAAAAATTAGAATGGCTCTCTTCCTGTCTATGAGGATAAGTTGCTCCGTCAGATGCCTCACCAAAGCAGTGAGTTGGTTAGTTGTCTTTTTTTTTGTTTGCTTTCTAATGGAGTAGGAAGGCTTGATGGGAATCTTAATATTCATAACCAAAAATTGCGTTACTCTCATTGATAAAGATGAAGAAAAAAACGTACATAGCATTCAGACATTTGTGCTCTCTCCTTCTTTCCAGTCACTTACATTCTCTTCCCTCAAAACAATAAAAGAAGCTCTGCATCTTTTTTTCCTCTATGTGGCAGTAGTATTCAGAGGTGAAAGCTGTATTTTGTGCTTCCTCTGCTGAGCAGAATCTCTTTGCTGTGTTTATTCCAAGATTGTGCATTTCTTATCTTTGTTGCTGCAATTAAAATACACACTGAGCTCTTACTTGAAAACACAAATCTATGAGGGTATGAATGTGGAATCTCTAAATTTCTTATATCAGTCAGTGTACTTTTGTAAGGTGATTGCAATTGAAAATAAAGTGGTTTTTATTCGTTTTTTATGTCGAACTTTGGTGTTTTTTGTGACTGTCCTTGAACATGGCATATTCATCTTTTTTACCTCCGTCTGTTCCCTTGCTTTCTCCCTCCAAAATCTTAGTAAAGAACATCAAAATATTGCTAGGTTGTTGCCAAGAAATACAGTCCAGGTTGACTTGTGGTTAAAATTGTGTAAAAAGGATTTTCTATCTGCTGCAAAGAATTAAGGTTTGTTTGGAAGAATGCTACTTTGCCTGGCCTGTACTTAGGTTCCTGTGCGCAAGTGCAGCAGGCAGTTGAATGTCTACAAAGTATTTGCAGAATTAAAAGTGGAAGCCCTGTTGTGCTGTTCATGCAAGTCAAATGTCACTGATAAGACAGCAGAACTGTTTTTTGTTGTTCTTTTCGTAATCTGCCTCAGTGGAAACAAAACAGTAATTAGTTTGGTTGAAATGTCATGCTTTTAATCAAACTGTGAACAATTTAGTTACTGTATAGTAGATATCTAATAATTACAGTAGGCCTCCAAATCTTACTATGCAGCGCAGAAACGTAAATGAGTAATTTTACTTGATGTTGTGAAGTCAGCAAAATGCTGAGATTAAACCGCTAACTGTTGTGTGTATGTATTTGTAGCCTCACCTTCCCTTTCCCTCCAGAAGCCTGACTCCCTTCTTGTGAGAAATAGCGGCCCTTTGAGTTCAGACATCCAGTGGCTGACCTGCCATTATCTGTATGGTTACATTTAGTTGGCTCTTACACTTATGTTGCCTGCAGACTTTGTGTATGGGAAACTGGCTGTACATAGTTGTAGAGACACCTTATACTTGGAAATGGTGAAGAGTAACTTCTGGAAACAGATTTGAATTTTTTTTTTTCTTAAGGAATCCTCATGTAACTTAAAAAAAAAAAAAAAAAAAAAGCCTGCATATTTAATCAACAGTTATTTTTTATTTTACATTAGATGGAGAAAAATGCTTGCAAGGAGACAGCTGATGCAGTAATGACTTAAAACTGAGATATTTTAAATGATTTGTTAGTTTTCTTAATATTTTAATTTTATATCTTGTGGTGATACAGTGCAACACATGAATGTTACATAGCTGAAATTAGTATATGGTTCCCAAAGCAGTAAGCAATATTGTTATCAAAAAGTAGTCTTTTCTCTTAAGCTCCTTCATACACTGCACTTCTTGTATATTTTAATGTCTTGATTCTCCCCTTCAATTAATTGTTAGTGCTCAAGTGGGTGGGCCTTTTTGTGCCTGGTTTACTTTAAGAAGTATGGCAAGTCTTTGGTGAGCATAAGTAGGCAGACTGGAGGACTGGCAGCTAATTTTTAATTTGGGAGATTGGTTTTCTGTAAATGTAAGAACAAATCTACAAGCATGCTATTTTCTGTATGCCTCTGCTTGCAATTGCTTTGGTAGATTTCAGTAAATTAGTTCTTATTCTTTCTGTAACTGCATTTGCCTTTGTTTCCCCTCTACCACTCATTCTTTTTCTCTTCCTAGTCCCATATTTTGTTTAACTTCCACTGAGAGACGAAAAGAAGGAGTGAAGAGAGAGAAGAGGTAAGGGGAAGTCTTCCATATGTTTTAATGGCATAAGTACCATCACTTCTTTAAGAATATACAAGAGCAGTGCTCTTGAATGGGATGGTAAAGGTGGGGGGAGAGCCTGGAACCCTTGGAAACTGGTTTGTCATATAACAGAAAGCTTTGGCTGACAGACTGCTTTTGGACTCGTGCTGAGTTCATCAAGTGCAGCCTTATATCCACTGACTAGGGTTGAGGTAATGCAAGTAATGATGTGCATGCTGGAGAATTGATACTTCAGTGATGGAAACTCAAGTTTTTGTTACATGGATCTCGAATCCAGTGGAGGTGGCAGTTTTCTTTGTTTTATAATTCAAAATCAAGATCGGTTTATGAAGTTGGCTTGTCATTCTAAACAGGACTAAGGTCTTTGATTGTAAAGTTTTGCATTTGTTGCATCAGGATATTCATAAGAATGCTTTGACTGTATTGGGGGCTGGATTAAAAGCAAAGTGGGATGAAGAGCAGCCTTACCCTGTAGTAGTTTGGCTGTAATAGCCTTGATTCTTTAATAAGTTGGTTTAAAGATGACTAGCTTTAAAATACAATTTGATACGCTTAATAACTTCTCACTATTGAAACCCAGTGAAAATCCTGAAGGGAATGGGACGGGACAGCTGTGAGCATTGTCCTAGGAGAGTCAAGAAGCAGCGTATTTAGCCATTCCTTGTTCTTTGTGCTGGCAACTGTCGTGTATATCTGCAAACCAACCACAGAGATACTTTTTTGGTTGTTTTGGTTGTTTTTTTTTTTGCTACATGACAACCTGTGAGAAGGAGCTGAGGTGGACCTGACTGCTGACAGTGTGTATGTCAGTGTGGCTGGCGCAGGAGGGAATTCAGGGGCTTGTGGTAAGGCACATTATGATGAGGAAGATAAGGAGGAGGATACTGTTATGGGATAGAGAGAACATGAGGTCTTGCGAGAATGTTTTGATAAAACTACAAGTACATGGGAAATCAGATTCTTCTAGAATAAATTGTTTCTTCTGTATGGTATACAGGAGTTGGTCGTTAATGGTACTCTATTGTTTATACTGTATCTGAGTGTGCCTTCTGTGTCTCACTGTTGTTTTTTTACCTTCTGCCCTCTTTTGTCTCGTTCTACATTTGAAATAGACTGCTCACTTTTCTGTTAGGTTACCATAGAGAGCAGCAGCCAGCAATTGTCTGAATTTGAAATCATAGTTGTTTCGGAACATGACTACTGACTGCAGCTTCAGTGATGTAATGCCTGGGAGTTGGATATCCTTCCTAATCTCTTAGCAAAATCTGTACTATGGTGAAACTGGTGGGGGGGAAATGGAGAAGGAACTTCATCGTGGGCAAGATTAGTCATTTATTCATGTGTTCTGCTTCTAGGTCTGGTTAAAGATGTGTTATCTCTTTGGAAGCAGTCAGCAATAAATAAATATTCCAATTCCTTTGATATGTTGTATTTAATCTGTGTATATAAATGTGCTACATGTGTTTTTCCAAATTACTGTGTGTGTAGATGCATACACATGCTATAGTTAACTTTTGTATGTTTTTGTATCTGGTATTTGAATCGTACCTAGCATATTTCATTAAATTGTCAGAGTGCTCAGAGTAGTGATAAAAAGTTGAAATTTAGTAAAATATGGAAGTGTTTTAATAAATTTTTCTTACTATTTTGTTTTTTCCATGTCTCCAATTAGAAAATGGATTTTTAAAGAATAGATTGCAGGTAGGGATGCTCAAGTTTTTGAGCTGTTGGCTGCAGGACAGTTCAGGACAGAAGTTTTCCACACTGAATTTGTGGTCTGTGACACACTTTAGTGATAGATTCATTGTTACTTAGAAATTTCTCCTGTATAGATCATGTTAAAGTATAAGTATATAGTATACTGACATTTTCTAGGTAAGTTCTTGTGGACTTCTTAGTGAGAAGGGTGGTTCCCATGACTGCAGGTTAAAATTGTTGGCCTGTAAATCTGAAGGCAGGCATGACAAGAATTGCTTTTGCTAATGATTGCAAAACATGTATGAGCATATGATGTAATTGGGCTTGAGGGGGGAGGAAGATGTTCAAATTGCATACTCTGTAAACTCATAATAACTTATAGGAGGCTTTTTAGAATGTTTATCCTCTAAATTTGCCTTTTTGCAGTACATTCAGTAGGCTCAATTTTAGATACTTAACTGAGTTTCTGAGTGTTACGTTGATTACCAACATTTCAAGAATGTTTTTATCTACCTCCCCTTACAAAGAAAATATTTTTGAGGGGAAGGCAGGCACCAGCATACCATAGAGATTATTTTTCCTGATGTGGTAAGAAAATCAAACAATAATATTTCTTATCATCTCTCTGTTAACCTGAAATGTCTTCTGTATACAAATTACGTCGATGTCAGCACAAGTCACTGGAGGTAGAAAAGTAATGCTGTCTTGTCGGTCTCTGTGTCTTGCTTACAAGAACTCTATTGCTGTGAAACCCCATAGTTAGTTTCAGAGTGATCCTGTATGACTGTGTGGAGCCAAGATGGACAGATAGGATGAATTTTCTCTTGGGAGCAGAAGCTGGAGTTGTTAGGTTTAATGCTATATGAGTGTAGTTATTTTGCTTTTATGTTCAAATTGACTTGACATTATAACCAGATCAGCATCGTGTTGTGGTTGAACTGAAAGATCTGGCTTGACTCAAGACTATCATGCAACTAGTCTCTGTATTTTGTGTTTGAATTTTATCTGTAAACGTGATAACTCTTCTCTATCCTTACTGCTGTTCCTTGGCCCGTAAGGGATAGAAAATTGACTGTGCAGATAAGTAACTTTTTATCAACAATTTCCATTTGCTCCAGTAAGCTTCAATTTAATTTCCTCAGATTTGTACATGCCACTCAAAGAGCCTTAATATGTGCACTGTGTGTATTCTGATACCTAAACCTTGCTCCAGGAAATTGTTCATAATGTTTTGCCTGTAGTTAAAGGGTGTGGGATGATGAGTTTAGGTTAGAAAGTTATGATTTATTTTTCCCTCTAGTTATATGTGTATTGTATACAGACCTTGTGAAGATGCAGAGCAGATGAAACGGGGATGGTAATTTGTGTTAATCTTTGCAGTGGCATTCGATCAAGACTTTGAGGTAAATTCGTGTGCATCAATGTAAAATCTAAATTATTTGTCTTAAATTAGTGCTGTTTCCTCTCTTGAAATAGCCAGAGTTCTGATTAGATTTTTCATCCTTACGATTCTGTCCTACATTTACAGACACCCTGGTAATAACATAGACCCTGAAGTATTCTATGATGAAATCCCAAAGATACCTAAAATCTGTGACTGCTTTGTTTTTTTCCCCTTTGTAGACGTTATTTGGCAGATGTTGATCGGTAGGGACAATTGGTAGGAAAATGTATCAGGGTTCTTTCATGCATCCATTGAAGTCATACAAACTGTCCAAGTAGAACAGGAAAAGAGAGACCATGTATTCATGTAATGGTGACTGATGTAGGAAACTTGAATTGGTTTAGCAGTCAACTTCCTGAGATTAGTTTAGTCTTTACATGGAAAATTCTCTGATCTTAAGCTAAAAAAAAATATATATACCTTTAGTTTATAATTTCACTGATGTCCCCTTATTAATTCAAAAATAAATGTTGTATTGCCACTCTCTTTCAATTCCACTAGAAAAGTTTTTAGCTTTTTCTTAATTTAGAAGTGTTTTTCCTTGTTATCTATTGTGCTGTGATAGGATATGGAAACCTATTTATGGGGAAGGAAACGCAGCAGTGACATTGTGTTTAAAACAAGCAAAAACAACTAAAAACCAAACTCTCATATAACAAATAGAATGCTAAAAGCAGGTTTCTTCCCTTCCTCCCCCATTTGGTTATCGTAGTTACCTGCTTGTGGTAAGTACATGAGATTGGCTTGATACACTTGGTGCTACCATCACCTCTTACCTTTAACTTCTCATAGAAGTTTTACAGCTCTGCACCTGAATGAGAGCTTTAGTGTGCTTGTCCATACAGTGTAGGTTCTAGCAGGCTTTCTTAGTTATCTTTCTCTTATCAAATAAGGTGAAATGTCTTGCAGAAGTGGGCTACTGAGTATCATAGAATGATAGAATGAATCATAGAATGGCTTGAGCTGGAGGGGCATCCTAAGGAGTTCCAGCCCTTCTGCCACAGGCAGGGCAGCCAACGTCCAGATCTGGTATTAGACCAGGTTGTGCAGGGCTCCATCCAACTTGGCCGTGAATACCTCCAGGGATGGGACATCCACAGCCTCTCTGGGCAGCATGTTCCAGCACTTCACCACTCTGTAAAGAACTTCCCCCTAACATTCCATCTTACCCTCCATCCTTGAGCTTGAAACCATTCCCCCTTGTCCTATCACAACCTACCCAAGTGAAAAGTTGATTCCCCTCCTTTTTATAATCACCTTTTCAATACTGGAAGCTTCCGTGAGTTTTCCTCATAGCCTTGTCTTCTCCAGCTGAATAAGCCCAGCTCCCTTGGCCTGTCTTCACAGAGGAGGTGGCTCTCCTCTGGATCCTGTCCAACAGCTCCACGTCTTTCCTGTACTGGGGGCCCCAGACCTGTTCACAGTACTCCAGATGAGGCCTCTTGAGGGCAGAGTAGAGAGGGACAATCACCTCCCTGTTCCTGCTGGCCACCCCTCTTCTGATGGAGCCCAGGATACCATTGGCGTTCGGAGCTGTAGGAGCACGCTGCTGGCTCATGTAGCTCATACCAGTATGAATTGTACTTTTCCAAGTACAGCAAGTATTGCCTGGTTTCCTTTGACTTGAAAAATGTTTATGTGATATGGAAAGAGTTTACATATAAAAATGAATGTATGAAATATATTAAGAACAAAAAACCAAAACAACAGCACCTAAAATATAAAGCCTACATAGAAAATACCATGGAAGAAATTGTCTGGACTCTTTACGTTTAGAGGATGATTGATAGCTGGTTGATAGCCGATTATGAAACCTTGTTGGTGTCATCAGGAGAGTTTGGCTAGATTTCAAGTTCTTAATTTTCAAGTGCACTTCGTCAGGGTGATCTGTCAACTGCTTGTTTCCTGAAGCTATTCAGTGTAGCTTTTGGTGGTTCCCCAAGAAACAAATGAAAGGGGAAGGGGTGAGAAGACATGCTGATAAAGTAGGCCTGTAGTTCCCTTTAGCCAGCACCTGATCAGAACTGCACTTTGTTTTGAATCTTGTAGAATTAGGTCCAAAAATATTGGTGTAACTTCAGGAGATGACCCGTTTAACTTGTAACTGAAGAGTCAGACCCTCTGTACTCGTGGTTGTGTTTTTTCTCTCCTCCTCCATGTACCAATGAAAACTGTTTTCATCTTCTGTCACATAATTGATCTTAGAAGGACAAAGCAGAAAGGAAACATGTGGTCTTCATTAAACCACAGAATAATATTGTGTAAGTGCAATACCTCAGGGATAATGTGTAACTTATTTTCTGTTGTTTAATGCATAAATGATGTTCTTTGTATAAAGCCACACAGATGAAATAATCTGGAATGTATTGTGTTCTTATGCTTCCACTGCTAGAGCACCATTCACTTAAAAATACTGGTTCTGGCATCATAAGCAAAATAAATTGTGAGAAGCAGAGGTGAATTTTCAAGTATCTTTTTTTTGATAAGGCAGCTAAGTCAGCAAAGTCATTTGTGCTCTCTAGGGAGGAGAATTGCCATAGAAATTGTAAGCCACTGCGATTAAGTGACAGTGGAAAAGTGTGGTTAAGTTTTTTTTGCAAGAGATTGACAAGTTAGATGTTTTAACCAGGTTAAACAAAAACATTCATCTTTTTTAGATAGCTTGTCTTACCCTGGTAATATGACTGACTAGCTACAACTAAATAAATGCAGAATTTTCTCAAATAAGATGTTTTTCATGAAGTGAAGTTGTGCTGATGTGGTAGTATTGAGGAAGATGGTGACCTGGAGAAATTACCAAAATTCTTTCAGTGATGGTGATAACTTCAGTAAAAAGCACCTATGTAAATTTCTTTAGATAGTCTTGGGTGCCAGATTTCCAGGATTCTGGCAGAGTAAAGACTTGAAATAAATGCTGAAATTGAAAAGTGCTGTTATGATACCAGATAGTATTTTATGAATTATTTAAAGTATTAAGCTTAACAGGATAAATAATCCCATTTAGGATGGCTAAGGAAAAATGATCCCCTGATTATTAGATTGTCTGTTCTGAACTGTCCAAATTTTGTAGTCCAGATATAATCCATGAAAAATACTGGGAATATTTTAATGTCATGATAGTAGTTCTCATTGTGACATGACAGAAAGTAATTTTCCTTCATTTGAAATCTGACATCAGTGTTGTTTATTGTTGGATAGTTTATATGATTGTATCTCCAGTGGGTTGGGTTATTTTGTGGGTTTTTTTTTATTTGTTTTTAGAAAATTCAGTTAAAAAAACAAAACAAAACAAAAAATGACCACCATCACCAAAAGCTGTTTTGAGTTTGAGAAACCTCACAGTAGATGAGGCCTTGATCCCAGACTATGGTGACCTATGTGTCTTTTAGACACAGAATGAATCATAGACTGCTTTGGGTTTGAATGGACCTCTAAGATCATGTAGTTCCAACCCCCTGCTATAGAAACCTCCCTCAAGACCAGTTTGCTCACAGCCCCATCCAGCCTGGCCTTCAGTGCTTCCAGGGAGGGACATCCTAACCTTTCTGGGCAACCTGTACCAGTGTTTCACCACCCTCACAGTGAATAATTATCCTAATATCTAGTCTACATCTGCCTTCTTCCAGTTTAAAGCCATTTCCCCTTGTCCTGTCACTACCTGCCCTTATAAAATGTACATACTTTGTAGCATACTGAAGTTGTTTTTTAGAGTGTTCTAATTACAGGCATAAAGTAAAAATCCCTATTATGCTAATGATTTGTTAGTGTAGGTGCAACTGAAGATAACAGTGGATCAGCGTGTCTTAACATGTGGTAGCTGATTTACCTGGATTAAACAAGTTGATAATTTCCTTTTGGATAGTAATTAATTCAGACTTGTTTTCTTTTGAAAAAGGGAACTAAATGGAAACTGAAGTTTTGTGTAAGTTGTAAATGAGGTTTCTGTAGGGCAGGGTATCTACCCTGTGAGTAAACTGTGGCAACTCTACGAACACTCACTGAAATGGTGAAAGGGATTTGGGGTTTTTTTAATGCCTGCTATTTCTCTGTACCTGCTTTTGGTTTACCAGTTTTTTCTCACTGATTGTTCTTGAAAATAGTCTGTTTTGATGCTGAATTTTACGCGTAGCTGGTGATACAGTGTGACGTTTGTGACACTTGGTAAGAAAATGGTTAGGGTTTACTATGAGAAAACAAGAGGCTTTGCACAAGCAACAGCTGGTTGGCCTGATTCTTTTCTACTCCATTGCACTTGGTGACTCATTTAGTGGGACTGAGATGTGACTGCTGCTTTTCTGAGAAGCAGTGAATTGGAGGTTTTGACACTAAAAAGCACGTTGAGATGTCAGGCTTCAGTAATGAGATCAGATGTATTGGGTGAAGACTTGCTATCAGTCTGTTCCTTAGAGATGTTCATTATTTTAGATACTCCATCATCCTTGAGATTCTGACTTGGTCAACAGAAGAAGCAAATTCAAGTTTGTCTGCATTGCTTTTCTGAAAAGTCCTTTTTACAAGTGCACCATTTTCCTCGAGGCTTGCTTTTTTTTCCTTGGCAATGCAGTGTGTTTGGCAAGGAGCGTGTTAAAGTATGTTGGATCTCAGAATTGTTGGGCTTTTGTAGTGTTACGTTTTAGCTGAAGTGCATGTCAGATGGAAGAATTGTATGTATTGCTACGTCTGCATATGCTTCATTGCTGAGTGATCTAGATTCATGCAGTTCTGCCATGGGAAGGAGTTTGCAATTCTTCATTAAGCAAGTAGTGAAGATGAGGGCATTTTGCTTCAATTACCTGTTTACATATCTACATCAGGATGTGAAATCACATTAGTTTACTAACCTGTGAATAGAGGTGCTAGTTCACAGCTCTTCTGTGTTCAGTCTGGTTTTCCCCTTACTCAGTAAGAGCAGTAGGTGACCGGTAGTAACTGCCATAGCAACTGGGGTTGGTTTTGTTTACTTGCATGAATCATCGTACGTTGTATCCTTCCTCTACAACTAAAAACTATTACTGATTTTTTTTGTTTGTTTGTTTGCCACTTAAGAAAATCACTACTGAAAAACATCCCCTTGATGTGTATGTCTTCTAACAATAATCCATAAAAATGAGATTGAAAATGTCGTTTCATATAAGTATTTGTTAATCATCATAGTTATTTTGGTTTTAAGAGATACGGAATGGGAGTTCTGGCCTTCTTTCATGGCATTTAGTTTCTGTTGTAAGCATTGGAGGCTTGGCCTTAAAAATGCCCCTAGCAGAAGTCAGGAATGCTTTCTGAGAAATACATCAAAAAAATTTCTTACAAGATTACTATTGAAAGTTAAAGCAACTAAGCTCTGACAGGATGGACCAGTAAGGAAGTGTACCTGATGTTCAGTATGTTTGCCTTAAAGTGAGTCTTTGTCATGTCACGGAACATGATGAATGAATTTTTGTGATCACAAATTTAAATGATAATATTTTCATTAGTTTGTAGTATTTCTGAATTGTAAGATCATCGTGCTGGTTAGTGTATTTGATATCAAAAGAAAACTGAATTCTCTATCTTCTTTTTGCTTGCATAAAATAACACTAAATTACTATGTCAGATATATATGTGATATAGAATCACCTGTTTTAAAATGATCTGACTCAATCTTCTGCTGTGTTTTGTGTTGTGATTTCTTTTCACAGGGTTTGTGGATGCACTTAGATGTTTGCAATGAGCACTGTGGCTGGCATGCCCCAGTGTTTTGGATACCAATGCATAGGACTCTGTAGTAATCGAATTTATCAGAAACGAACGTCATGAGCATAGTGATCCCACTGGGGGTTGACACAGCAGATACTTCTTATTTGGAAATGGCTGCAGGCTCAGAGTAAGTATGTTAACTTACTAATTAAGGTTCCTGATTTCTATTGCTTATTTTTTTTTCTACTGAGGATTTTTTTTAATACGTTTAGTTGGAGAAGACATGGGAGTCTCCGTAGTTATATTGGATTTTTAATAACTCTAAGCAGTAATCTATTCTTAAGTCCATTTTTTCCTTTTTGAGGAGAGTGAAGGAGCGAAGGTGAACTGTTCTACAGAGGTATGTTTTTTTTATTGCTTAGCAGACAGTTACTATCTGGTTTGCTTTTCACACAAAGTATTTAACAACTTCAGTGTTTCCTTAACCTATGTATTTAAAATATGTGTTGATTTCCTATGTTGGGGACAATTTCTTTTGGTATATTTAATTTCAAGAAAGCAGCAGTAAAGCACTCAGTCTCTGAATAGAGGTTGGTCTGGTCAAATAAATATCATTCCGTATGAGTAGTGTCCACCTGGTTCTTGAATATTATGAGAAAATAGTTTGCACAGTCTGAGAGGTAGAAGGCCGTGGTGGTGTTAAATTTTTTGCTGCTTTATATAGGTAACTCATCCCATGGAGGGACACACTGGGTAGCTGGTACTGATATAGACAGCATACGTACAGGCTTTGCTTTGGAGTATGTGCTGTCCTAGTAATCTTACTCCATTTAAGAGGGGAATGTCTTTTCTTCAAACTTCAAAGCAAATTTGTTATGCAGTTAAAAAAAGAACTCTCAAACAGCTTTTTAAATGCCTGTTTCTTTTCTCTGTTTCCAGTTGTGTGAGCTTAACTCCACTAACATAGGCAGTTGGAGCCATTTATCTGAAGGAAACCAAGAATTCTTACTTTGAAACTTAATGGTGCATTCAAGTTTACAAAATTGTTTTGTTGATGTCTATTTCATATCATGGACAGTAATTTTCTTGGTGCAGAAAACTCTACAAGTCTGTGTTAAGTAATTCTACTAATTGTAATTGAACTGTAATTGTAACAGTAATTGAACTGTTCACACTCTCTCTGTTATTTTGTGTGCGTGGATTTCTTCTATGTTTAGAGAAGAGAAGGTCTCCATTCCTGAGGTTACTGACATTTTTTGCGGATGCAGCAAGCCATGTTGAAATTAGAGTAAATACATGTAATTGTCAGTACAAACATGATCGTTCACTGTGTTATTTGCTTGGTGCTGTGACATGAAGACCTGATTAGGTACTGCTGTTCTTCAGATGTTAAGTGACTGGTGGCAATTAGATTCATTAATGTAATATGTAGTTGCACGATCAGCTTATCTTGATATGAAACGACTTCATTGTCTAAAGAAATGTGACACAAAACTGTGTCCCTAACAATTTTCACAGTTTTTACCCTTTTCTATCGCTGTCTGTCTGCCTTAAATGTACTTTTTGTGTTTTTTTTCAATGGATATGTTGGGTATTGATTGTATTTATAGTGGTCATAATGAGTTGTGGGGTTTTCCCAAGTGGGAAGGCTGTGTTAAACAAGTGGTGCTGAGTTGTTTGTTCTCTAGGTAGCTGTAAGCCCATCAGATGAGTTTGGCTAAATGAAGTGTCTTGAAACTCAAAGTGCTGGCTGCTTCTCATACAAAATACATTGCACTCCTTTATCTTAGCTGACCTTCAGCCAGACATCACTCAGGTGAGCTGGTGCAAAGGGGAAACAAACCCAAATTCTAAGAAAAATTACATCAGTTAAACTAACGGATGGCAGTTTGATACTGAAGCACACTTGGAAGCAAGAGATTTCGTTTGGAGTTTCTGTTAGCTAAGCTTTTGAATGTGGGTGGGTAGCTTAGCCTTAGGATATGGAAACTTCAGTTTTATTGAGATTCTTTTCTGTTTGAATACCTGGAATTCTGTGAAGGTGATTGATATCCCCAGGTGCTAAGGACTGATCATATTTGGAGTGTTCAAAATCCACCCTCGCTTCTTTTGTAATTTCTGCTCAGTCAGAAATGAAACAGTGTTTGAAAGCAATAAGGGGAATTTTTTAAAGGAGAATTTGCTGTTGCTTGGAATGGCTTATAATTGATTCCCTTAATATAGGTGAACGTAAGGTCTGATTTTAACTGTCTGGTTTCATGTGTAAGTTATTTAATTTTTGACTAATGCCACCTGCTGGCAGCATGCAGAATATTTTTTTTCAGTTTGCATTGTACTTTTAAATATGAACACTAGGGAATGATGTGAACATGAGTCTTCATCTGCAGAGTTAAAAGTTGTTTAAGAGACATCTTTAACACTTTTTTTTCAAGTTAAAGGGTGTTTTTAAATAATTTGAACCCAGAAGAATCTTTGCTTTTTTAAAAAATAGTCCTTGCTGTTGTTCTTGGTTGGTTTGTTGTTTTTTTTTTAATTCTGAATATTTAGCATGGTTGTGAATTGCTAATTGATACACATTCAGTCTCAAATGAAAGTTGGGCTTTTGGGTTTTGGCTCTGCACTCTGTGTTCTCCAGGTCTTAGGATAGTTGGAGATAATGGATTGCATTTGTTTGTCTTCTGTATTTCCTTTTTAGAAGCTTAATTCTGCTTTCCACAACTGCTTTCATCTAAATTTTAAAGGCTTTACTCTTCAGTGGTTTATAATTTTCTAGCTTAGATAGAAATAGATTTAAGGAAGTAGGGTGTACTGTCTTGCTCTATATTTTTCAGGAGTACCTTTTTAGTTTTGTTGACAGTTAATGACATACATGTGACCTCACTTTTTAGGACATTCTGGTATTTTCATTGAGTTCTCCCATGTCAAAGCAGCTGGTATTTAGGTCGTGGTAAGATGGATTTATTTATTTCCAATTAAGAAAAATCTCCTAAATTAATGACAGTACTGCTTAAGGACGAACTCCCCACTAGCCTGTATGAGTAAACCCTCCTGCTCTGAAAATGGAGGTTTTTATTTTCCATATACTCAAGAAAACCATCTAGGTTGAGCTTGGAACCCATAGTGGGTGGACATGGAACCATGGTTTTGCTTTTCCAATTCAGTGAGTGGTGAAGAATAACAATGGAAGCAATACAGTGATTGAGACTCTCTTGAATTGGAGAGGAAAAAAGAGAATTTCTATTTTAGACATCATGGATGAAAGGTCAGCTTCTAATCCACTGGCATTTAGATTGGCAAGATCATCAGAAGGATTACCTAGATGACATTGATGGTGTGTAGTTACTGCATAGGTGTATTGCATGTCAGTATATGGATAGTCATAATGGAAAGGGAGATCTATAGGAAAAATTGTCTGTCCAACTGGTGTCTTTTTTTCTTTATTGTGTTTGATGAATATCCTCCTCTTTCCCCCACCCTTCGTGGTGACTGTGAGAAACATTCGTGTTTTTTAGAAGATTTTTTTTCCCCTTTGGACTTCATTAACTAACATTCTCACCTATGGGTAATTTTAACAAGTGTTTCTTTTTACACTGTTTTATTGTGTAGTAGTATCACATAGGGAAAAGCTAATGAGAAGCAGGCTGCTTAAGATATTAGTAGGACACCTGCAAGTAGATAGAATAATGCTCTGTATTGTTACCAGGAAGAATAATTATATTTTTACAAAAACATTAGCAACAAGTGGGAGTTGCTGCTGTTCTCCTCCATCAGCCTAGTATCACCTCATGGCAGAACAACTGCAACAAAAAGCTGTCTTCAGTATCTTAGAGTATGAAGAAAAATGCACAGATTTTCGAATTAGCAGTGTTCAGAACAAGCATCTTTATTTTAAACATCGATTCAAGGAATTACTGAAGTATTTGTGATGGGAAATATATTTGATGTATAACAAAGCTAAATTTAGAAAAGAAATTAGCCTTGATTTGTATTGTGAGTCAAAAGCCATTTCAGTTTCTTAGATAGAGATATTTTGTTCTGTCTCATTGTGAAAAATAAATTCTTAATGCATTTAGGTAACTGCATTCATTTGGAGTTTGTACTTGTTTATTTGGGTCATGGGGGTTAAAAAAAAATAAAAGCTTCAGGATGCTGACATAAATGTAACTGCTGAGAAAAGGTGTGATTTGTTGGACTCAAAGATTCCTATTTTAGTATTCCTTTACCTTTCTCATCTTGTGTTGTAATTTAGATCATGTAAGCGGTGGGTTGATGATTACAACCTTTTACTGCAAAGCATTATCTAGCAATTTTTTCAGTTTTTTCTTTCCAGCTAAATATAATTTGGTAACTGTTTTTTGTTTCATTTTTAATAAATAAATTTGCCTTAAGATTTCTGTTTGTAAAAAGAGCTGGTTTGTGAAAATGTTGAGAATGATGCACTGGTGCAACCACTAGGTGTCATTGCAGAACTTAGTGGCATTGCAGCTGGTGCTGGAGCTGTATCAATAAGTTTACAATTCCGTGTGTATTGCTGCTTCCTTCTCTTGTCATTAAGCTAAACTCCTTTATTTAGCTTTTATTACAGCTTAATAGATCCTTGACAAAATGCATAATATGTTTTTCTGTTTCATAAGCCAAAATTGTGGGTTATATTAAGTGATTTAATGTGGACTTTTTTTTTTTCCTTCAAGGAAGATTTTGTAACTACAGAGGCATAAGTTCTTTGTACCTCTGAAAGCTTCTTTTTAGGTGAAAGTTGTTTTCTCTGAAAGGGTAAACAAATATAGAGTTGAATGTTTTTTTCTTTTACTTTTTTTCCCCCCAACTTTTCCCTCTATCTATTTGCATGCTCCTTTTTAACAGGAGGAGCAAGTAATTACTTAGCAGCAGCGAAACAAGCGCATGAAGTTTATTCATGTTATATTAGTTTACACGCTTTAATATTTACATTTATTAGTATAACTGTTCATTCTTCTTCTGATTTGATTTTGCAGACCGGAATCTGTAGAAGCTAGCCCTGTGGTAGTTGAAAAATCGAACAGTTATCCGCACCAGTTGTATACCAGCAGCTCGCATTCACACAGCTACATTGGTTTGCCCTATGCAGTAAGTTTCACAGTAGATACTGTATATAAATAATGTAAAATCTGCTGTTCTAACAAATGAAAATGTTGGTTCTTGCTTACAGTTTCGCATTTTATTGAGGTCTGGGTAAATTGACTAAAAGTGGTTGATTGGAAACTCAATACAGAACATAGTTTATGAAAAATACAGATTGATAGACTGGTTTGGGTTCCAAGGGACCTTTAAGATCATATAGTTTCAACCCCCTGCTACAGAGAGGGACACCTCCCTCTAGATCAGGTTGCTCACAGCCTCATCCAGCCTGGCCTCGAATACTTCCAGGGAGGGGGCATTTACAGCCTCTCTGGGCAATCTGTTCCAGTGTGTCACTACCCTCACAGCTGAGAAGATAGATAACCAAGAATAGACAATGACAAAAAAAAAAAGTATGAAGTATGAACAAATGCTTAGATCTTCAGAGACTTTTTATGAAGTTAATTCTTCTAGTTTGGCTTAAATAACCATCAAAGCACGTGAATACTTACAACTTACCTTTCAAAACCAATCTAGGACCATAACTATGGTGCTCGGCCTCCTCCAACGCCTCCAGCTTCTCCTCCTCCATCAGTAGTTATAAGCAAGAATGAAGTAGGCATATTTACCACTCCCAACTTTGATGAAACCTCCAGTGCTACTACCATCAGTACATCAGAGGATGGAAGCTATGGAACTGATATTACCAGATGCATTTGTGGCTTTACACATGATGATGGATATATGATCTGTTGTGACAAATGCAGGTAATGAATATTAAATGCGTCAGGAAGGTAAAAATGACTTAGAACTGCGTTGTAATATTAAGTGCAATTAAATAGTCATTTAGCTATGTTGATTAATAGAAAAGAAGACATTTCCTTCATCAGAACATTACTTGAAAATCGTATGCCTTTCTAATAGGCAAAGTAGTTGATGAAGGCCAGTGAGTTTATCACACCTTATTCCTGTCTGTCTTAACTATTCACGTCAGTTTGTTCATGCCTTTATTTGTGTATTGTTACTCCAGTAAGGATTTTATTATTCTGGAGCAGGTATCTGTCTGGTACTTTCTCCAAGTTGTTTGTTATTATGACAAAGTAAAAATCTGCATGTACCAGGTAATAATAAAACATGTTGGTAAATTAGGTATGTGTAAACCGAATAACTTGAAGAAAACAAGATGATTGGTCATAAACCTCTCAAATATCAGTTTCTGTGTGCATCATCTTTCTGATAAGAACTCTTAATCTTCACAAGAGTTGACTTAGTCTTTCCATAGTTACTGAAATTCTTAAACCTAGCAGTTTCTTATTTTGGAAGCTGAAGTTAAATGTTTAAACTTCTGTGTTCATGCTTAAGTACCTGTTTCGGCATGCTAATGTTGAGTGGGTGCTAGTAGATTTCTGGATTCTGGAAAGTTGAGCTTTGGGACTTCCAATAAACAAATTGGTGTTGCTTAATTGCATATTTTTGAAATAATATCTACAGCTAATCACAACATTGATCTGGGCCTCGTTCACCTGGCTGCATGTATAACAAGCTTGTTTGTTTTCAGTGATCCTTAATTCTGGTAACCTTTACTATTATTTTAAATCTTGTTTTTAATCTTATTATAAGATCACAGTAAAAAGATGTGCACACAAAGTTTCTAAAATTTTGCTTAAAATAACTGAAAGTTTTGGGTTTTGTTTTTTAGTGTCTGGCAGCACATTGACTGTATGGGAATTGACAGACAGCATATTCCTGACATATATCTGTGTGAACGTTGTCAACCAAGGTGAGTAGTTCAATGGTTTTGAACTCCAGATAGCTAGAAGAAGTGGAGAATATTTCAGAAAAAAAAACAAACAAACAAAAACATAACAGAATAGATGGAGGTATGTTTCGGATGCAGGTGATCATACTGATACCCATTTCCATGTTGTCCTTGATTGTTTTACCGTGCTAGCTGACAGTGATAAACACTTGAAACACTTATTGCCATAGCAGCATCTCCTGGATTTTGTCTGTCAGCCTGAGAAAACTCATTCTATCTTTTGTTTCATTACTGTCAAACGTGGGGGATTCTTTACAGGAGCTCTTTCAGGTTGTTAACTGATCCATCAGTTTTGAATACATTTCTGGGTATCATTCCAAAATGCTGCAGTCCTTGCTTCAAAGATTTCTTGCTCTGAAATAGATACCTTTTATCCTCCTTCTCAAACTAGAAGTCATACAACAAGACTATGAAGGCATTTTGTTTTGTGTGGTAGGAGAATGGTACCTGACTAATGATAGTTGCCCTGTGACATACAGCATAAAATGCTTTCTTTAGTTACATTGCAGATTGTCAGTTACACAGTGAATAAGAGACCTGTGTTCAGAACACATTTAATTACAAATAAATGATTTTTTTTCTTCTGACAAAATGTTTGAGCCCTGTCATCTTAGGATCTTATATCATAATGATTATTTAGATCTGCAAGAAAATGGTTTAATGCCTGCTTATTTATAATCCATGGGCCAACAGTCAATCTTTTTTCTGAGCTACCTCCATTTTCAGTATGTTTTTGAAGTGATGTGAGTGCTGCCCTTTACTTTGCATTACAGTGGAATGAAGCAGTGCAACATTTACGTTTTCATGAGTATTTAAACTCTCAGTTTGTATACAGTTTATTCTGTTATGGTCACTGGAAAATAGAAACAAGAAGTCTGCTATAATTCTTGGATGTGTGGATCCATAAATGTAAAGCATGGAGTAAAAGTTATTTCTTTAATTTCAGGAACTTGGATAAGGAAAGGGCAGTGCTATTGCAACGGAGGAAAAGGGAAAATATGTCAGGTGGGTAAAACTTAAACTTTTTTTCACTAAAGATTGTAAAATAACTTCAATTGCATGGACTTAAGAGTGTGTACACAGTTCTCTGCAATTTTGACTGCATTCAGAATGTAAGGTTCAGTGAATCTATTTCTTATAGGTTATAGATTATAGATTCTTGTATTTCTTTCCATTTATAACAACGTTATATCAGAATAGTTGAAGTTCCAAGTGCTTCGATAAAAGATGTCATCCCTGTTGGGTTTTGTTGTTGTTGTTTTCCTTATTGCTGCAGAGAAATTCAGTCTGAGCCTTAAGATTTTATAAAAATGAATGTAGCTTTTATAATCATAAGAATACTTTGAGCTACTAAAAATAGATGGGAAAGTTTGAGGTTTCTTCTGGGTTAAGAGAGGGGTTACTGGGTTTGTTATCTCTGGGGGAAAATGACTTCATTGCTCCGTCATTTCTTCCTTAACAGTGTACACTTACATCCTAATACTGACACCTTAAAACCGTTCTACTGCTGCTAATGTTCCTGACTGATGAAAAATAAAATAACTAAATGAGCTTTAAAACGATGTAGCGTAATTGTGAAGGAATCCTAACTCTCATTTGTTGGCTGTGTGTATTGGTATTTTTGTCAACTACAAAAATTAATACAAGTTTTTATTGTTGTAGTACCTTTTCCACCTCTTTGTTTTATGCAATTTGCTCTCCTTTTATAGAATTGGAAAGCTCAACTGATGTTACTTGTCAGGAGTTCTGTCCAGCTATTGCCAAAATGTGGCATGCTTTTGGTTGTCAGGTGATTACTTTGAAGCTGTTACAGAAGCCCTAACGTAGGAGATGATCTCTGTTCTGTAATTTAAGATGTTTTACTTCCAAATGCTGTCTCTGAAGTGTGGGGTGTGCAAGATGTGCAAGCTGCTTTTGACAGTTAAAGATGTTAATAACTTATTTAGAGCACCACTATTATTTTCGGTTTTACCTGCTTTCATTTTTACAAAACAGAACTTACTTTATAAAAGTTTTAACTGAAATGCTAGGTATTACAAATTTATATATATTTTTTTAGAGTTTAGAATGTGTTTTGTGCTTATTTTAACAGTAAAGCAAATACATTTGTTATATATTAAGTGGTATGATGACACTGTGAAGTTAAGTTTGAATTCATGTACAGTACAGTAGAAGTCAATGTTCCATGCTATTCAGGTAATCTCTTTGGATTTGTGGTTACACTGTGATCATTTGCAGGAATAGAGGTAATCAGAATCTTACGTAGGAGCTGAAGTTTGACTTGATCCTTAGTCCTGATCAGTCTTAAATCCATTCTGTGCAGTTAATAGGAAAAAAAATTATATGGTTAATCTTAAGTATCAAAACAGAGTAAGCCCCACACTTCTGATCCTGTTTAGGCTGTGACTTAGTGTGTGTGCTATTAATAATTGTAATTTACAGTACATAATTAGAGAGCAGGCATCCATTAATTTCTGGTTAATTTTCATTCAGCTTGGCTAAATGTACTACTTGTGTTTGTTGATATTAAGTGGTTCAGTAAAGCTTAAAGTAATTCTATGTATGAATAGTTTACCATGAGACACCAGTGAAAATAGCCAGTTTCAATGGATGATATCAAATAGGAAGAGCAAAAAAGCTCTGTTGATTCGAGTGGCTCTATTAATGAAAGTATTTGAAAGCAGCAGAATGTTGCTTGTAACTTGGTGATAAGTTACAGGTGTTTGAAAGTCAGGGTTGCTCTACTTCTGTGCTCTTTGAGTATGGTTATAGTGTTTTTGAAGTTTGCACATAATAAAACTTTTCATTTAGATGTGAGAATACAGAGTAATGGTTTTTATTTTAATGATTTCTAAAGTGTTGCTGAGCTCAGCTCTGTTCTGTCTAGAGCTAAACAGTGAGGAGAAGAAATAGATCAGTTGTTTTACTTCAGGAAAAGAGTTTTTAGGAGTATCACTTGTGTGTGGCACCAAGGGGTGAGTTTTGTGTGTTCACCTTTCTTTCTTGGAGCATCCAAGCAGTCAATCCCTAGTTCTGGTGCTTGCAGTTGTTTGTGGTGGAGTTTGGTTTGTTATTCTGGTATAAACATGTAATATTGCTTGCTGTGGATTAGATTGCTTCCTGTGAATCAGTGGAGTGTGTGTGTGTTAACTACTTAGTTATTTGCATCAAGGATGGGTTTTTGTATTTTTAAACATACAGTTTCTAGATCTATTACTTGTTCAAGGATGTTGCTTCAAGCTGCCTGGTCTTTAAAGTGGTGCTGATATACCACTTACTGCTTATGGAGGGAAGAGTCTGGGCCCATAATTTTCTGTGAAACTTCTGCAGTGTCTGTACCATGTCTTCCATGCTACAAAATCTTTCCTTAGAGCTCTGCTGAGGCTCTTCAAAGTGAAAGCAAGTTATGTAGGTTAGGAAGGAGCGTGTCAAAACAACTCTGTGTAATTGTATGTTCAATTGAGGTAATTATTCTTTACAGAAAGCTAGAGCACAGTATAGATAGGCAACAACAATAGATAGCATTGTACTTCTCTGGGGAATATGGTACTTTGTAGGAGCTTTTGTTTGCTTATTTATTTCCTTTGATATAATGATGCTGTGGGCATTCATGTCTGAAATACAACATTGATGATTTCAAAGTTGCCTTGAATTTTCATTTATTAACTGTTGTTTAATCTGCTATACATGAAAATCATTATTTGGTTAGGCTTCTTCATTTTTTTTCAATACTGGTTCATAAAATAGTCCCAGTAGAGATGGAAACAAGTTAAGAAAACATGATCAGCTTGTAAAACGTCAGTATGCCCGTATCATCTTATTATAGGTAAGGTATGCTTATTTGCCTTATAGACTTTAAAAAAAGAACCAGTGTAGTAAAACTGGATTGCTTACTATTGTGCAGAGAGTAATCCTGTTTAAGGAACGTTGTGATCAAGAAAAATCTTGAGTAGCTGGATCTCTTTACAGAGCTGTCGAGTGTACTGATTAAGGCAACACACCCTTTAATCTCAAAGACTTTTCTCTGCACTTTTAAGTATTTGTTAAGCCTTCTGTGCAGCTTCAAAAAGCCTTGCTTAGTGTGAAATGTATTTAATGAAGGCTGAATATTTGAAAAGCTGCTAAAATGTGAGAAGTCTGTAGTAAGCACTTGTAGTCTCCTATCTGTTTGTACCATCTCCCTTCCAATCCTCCTCACACTGACAGATCTAGGGTAATCCTGTTTCAGGTCAGGAAATGTATTTACCTGATACAAGTGATGATGTGTGCTAAATTTCATACTTCAGCTTTTAGCTTGTGAACAGCACGATGAAAATTTGCATCAGTTTGTGTACAGTCTTGTTTTAACAAAAGTAGTAGACACACCATTTCTCCTTGTGGGGAGTAGCAGCGTGTTATTGTTAGGAGATTTTTTTTTTTTTTTAAGAGAAAAGGCTTTCAGCCACATTGACATACTTAAAAGGACACATAACAGTAAAAATTTCATCTGGACGTGACTGATTAATAGGATTTTAAAAGAAATGCTGGGCAGGTAATAATTTTCATCCCTTTTAGACTACCATCATTCAAGAGAATCTTGGAACCATATTACAAGTACAGGCCAGGTATATAGATGAATGAGCTGATGAATAATATTTTGCTTTTTTTTGTTGTTGTTGTTTCAATACTAATGTTGCTTAAAATGAAATACCATACAGTAATGCCATTTAAAAAGTTGAATTAGTGTGATTATTTTTTTTCTTACCTGGTATGGCAAATGCCTGCTGATGACCAACTTCTCACAGGTTCATTTTCAGGCTGTTACAGCTGTTGGTAAACTTTGCATACAAGTACTTGAAGTATTTGACAGCATATGCCTTTTGCTTTTAAAAGAAGTTACAGAGCAACTAGTTAATGTTCTTTCTGATTGCTTATAAACTGTTCTTTGTTTTAAAGATGGGGATACCAGTGCAACAGAGAGTGGTGATGAAGTTCCTGTGGAACTGTATACTGCTTTTCAACACACACCAACTACATTTACAATAGCTTCTCCAAGAGTTACAAAGGTCAATGATAAGAAGAGGAAAAAAAGTGGGGAGAAAGAGCAGAACATAACAAAATGTAAAAAAGTAAGTGAATCTGATTTCTCTTTTTGTAACTGTTACAAATCACAGCTGTGTGACATCTCTTATCAGGAGACACTGGTTTTAAAATTCAGGCCATTGTTACTAATAATATTTTACTACCAGGGTTACATTAACATGCAACAGAGCATTACATTTCACAGTCTTCCCTTGTTCCCCCCTCATAAATTCAAAGTGAGATGTACAGCTGTGATGGTTGAATTTTATAATTGACACAGAGTTTGTAAGGAGGAATTGCATTTTGCTGCACCATTTAATACAGCTAGAAGGGGGGCAGAGCAGGCTTCAGGTAACCAAAGAAGAATTCTGTGTCTGAAATCTTGAGTTGTGGTGATTTATGTTCAAAAATGTTTTCTGCCTGATGAGACGTATGTCCATTTATTTGAGTTGAAATTGTGTGGAAATGTGCTGCTGGGGTTATCTAAAATAATTTGGTAAACAGTGTATAGAGACAGTACTGTTTAGATGTGAACAATATTTTCTCAATGTGAGGCAGTGAAGTACATGGCATTTCCTAAAGCAGTGAGTTGCTTTCTGTGGTTAAACTTCACTGGCTTAGCTGAGAATTCTGTCCTTCGGAAGTGAGAAATGGTTACTGGTATCCTTTTGGAGATCTTAAGTAATGTTTCCTTTTGAGTGAAAGATTCTGAACATAGACTTACTGCAACATATTATTCTGTTTTTATCTCCCGACATAGTATGAGAAGATTTAAAGAATGAGATTTAGATTTTTAGAGGAAAAATTAGTTTTATAGGTTCTCTGATAGCTGCTTCCTGCTCACTTCATCCCACTACCAGTGCAGTGAAGTATTTGGAGTATTCACACACTTTCCTGCTAAGTATGGAGCTGTTCAGTAAGTAATTCTGGAGCAGCTCTTTGTTGCATTGTGAAACTGCAGAAAATTATGCTGTAATATGAGAGGCAGGCAGAGTAGGTGCATAGTCTACTAGAACCAAAATCTAATGCACTTTTAGTTTGAAATGCTGATTTTAGTTTTTATTACGTTTTATTGGAGACAACTGCTGCCTTCCTGCATTTACATTGTAACTTGTCTGTTTTCTTGCATGCTTTACTGAGAATAGTCTGCAATGAATTGTTAATTGGTTTTGAATTCCTTAAGAGATTCTGTATTGCCACGTAAGAAAATAAACATATAATCTTTTTTCAGGCATTTCGAGAAGGATCCAGAAAATCTTCAAGAGTAAAGGTAATGTGATTTAATGATTGTTTTGTTTTGTTTCAAACCTTAATTGTACATTAATTTATGCATAACTGCAGATGTGCTTGTGATGCTTTGTAACACTTAAGTACTAAATTACTCTAATGAAGCTACTGCATGATTATTGTGGTAATTTTAAACTGAGATGAAAAGCTCATCTTTTTGTTCTACAGATTTAAGCGAAGTAGTGTAATTTTTTTTTTTCTGAGAATATTTGGTTCTCGAGTCAATAAAATGTTCAGGGCACATCTGTGCTATATGAAGGGGAATGAAGTTGAGAATACATCTCATCTAAACCTTGTAGCTCCAACTCTGAGAGCTAAGTTAGCAGTTCTGCTCTGTCATACATAGGTGTATCTATCTGGTGGGACACTTCTTGCTAGGGCTGATGTAGTTAAAGGAATGGTGTTTGGGATGGCTGCTTTGCAAGATTTAAATGTTACAGCATTCTTAGTTTTATGTGGGAGAAAAACATGCATTGTGTGAAAGCTAGGTGTTTTCCACAGTTCATTCATCCTTGAGATAAATATCAGTAAGTGGGACACAACTGAGGCTTCAGAGATACGATTGCAACTTGCAAATATCAAGACAAAATCAGGAAATCAGAGGACAAAATCTCTTATTTTCGTTTCTTTTTGAATGTGGTGTATGTATGGTTCTGTTGCTTTTGTTTTTTTCAGTTTGCTTGCATCACATTTTTTTTTATGCTGTTTGTATGTACGGTTCCTGCAATGTACAAAATAAATATAATCAGTAACAGGTAAATTAAACTGCTGAACTACTTGCTGTTTTATTAATGTTTAATAGTGTCTCTGCTCAGGTGGATAGAAAAGGGAGCGTTGGCTGCTGCTGTCCGTAAGGAGCACTGGTTGGCTGCAGCCTGGCTGCTGTTTGTGAGGTCTGGAGGTACAATGGTACTTTCTTTAAAAGTGAAAGGACCCAGAGTGCTGCAGGGGGAAAAAATGTTTAGTGAAGAACAGGCAGGGGGAGAAAAATGATTGGTGCTAAGCTTCTAACACTAGTTTACAGTCTATGCACCTTAATGTATTAGTGATAGGCTTTGTAAAGATTAGCTAAGTGCAAAGCAGAAAAACATGGCATAACTCTTGAAGCTGGAAGGGGTTTATCGGATCTGTGTGTAATGGAATGGAAGCTGGTTTGCATATGTTCATAAAAATTGAGTAGGGAGAGAGAGATTTGATCTCAGTTCCTGCATGTATATTGCAGGAGGAGACAGTATCAGTCTTCATCCTCGTCCCACTAAAAACTAGAATCCCTGTTTAAGAGGAATGTATTCCTGAAGTTGGGCAATTTTTATGAAATGATGCAGTTTTTAAAGGGCAAATATAATGCTATTGAATTCAGTGAAATGCTTTCAGTAATTCAGAACTTTAAACTGGACTTCCTACAAACTGTACTTCCCCTTTGTATACTGAAGGGGAAAGTGCATGGAAGTACACATTTGACAGGTCTTAATTTTCATAGGTACAACAAAGACAGAGCAAGGCTGCATTATAAACAAATTTAAATCAATGGCACACCTTTACCCTTCATTTTGTAGCATGTTGTAGATTTATTTTGTTGAGCTTACTAGTGGGAACATGTCTTTCAAAAAATTTTTTTTTTCTTACCTTATAATAAGTGATTGCTTACTTAATTTACAGGGCTCAGCTCCAGAGATTGATCCTACGGACAGTTCAAACTTTGGATGGGAAACTAAAATCAAAGCATGGATGGATCGTTACGAAGAGGCAAATAATAACCAGTACAGTGAAGGTGTTCAGAGGGAGGCACAAAAAATAGCTCTGAGATTGGGCAATGGAAATGACAAGAAAGAAGTCAGCACCAGCAATCTGATTTTCAAACCTCCAGTAGAGGTGAGGAGCTGTGCCATGTTTGTTATTGCTTGCTCTGTATTTGTTCTATGATCAAGATAGTCACTTACATTTATATTTGCATATCAATTTGCATAAATAGCTAAGATGCTATATTCAGACTGAAACATGAATTGTCATATAAAGTGCTTTTTTTGTGAAGAGCATAAAACATTAAACTTCTCTGCTCCTGCTTCTCTGATGTGTGAGGACTATCAGGTATGGTTAGAGTAGGAATAAATGCCAGAGTTTTTTTCTCTGTTCTGTACATCAATGTGTTAACAGTCCATGTTTTTCATAAGATGTGGTAAGTCAGTTCTGAATTTTTAGGTATTCAGATTAGAATATAACTTACTAGTTCATGAAAGATGTTTCTGGCAGTAGTGGGTATCACAACTGATGCTTGACTCTTGCGATGATGTAATTTCTAGTTTATAAAGAGATCGTGCATTGTCTTTTTTTTTTCTGTCCTTGACATCAGTTACTTAGCAGCTTAAAATCGGAGCTGTGTAATAGACCTTAGCATTTTGTAGCAGAAATCTCAAGGAGTAGTTACTGTAGCAGATTAATAGAAGCATCTTTGCTTCTTTTCCTCAAAGACGATCATGGCATATGGGACAGCCTCCTTAGAGGAATATCCCTGCTTACAGAGCCTTTTTCCTACATAGAGGCTACTTCCTTTTTGATTGGCGGTGACAGTTTTGAGAGGTGTGAGTTCACTAATTGTCAGGGTATGTATTGGTTTTTAATTAAAAGCCATCCTTTCATCTAAAGGTATGGAAATAAGGAATTTGCAAACTTTTCTAGGTTTCTTTACTATTCTGATATTTTCCTGTTCTGTTTTTTCTTGAATGAATATTGAATGTGTATATCTGCATGTTTTTGTTTTGATTTGAAGGAGTTGAAACCATGTACTACTGAGAGCTAAGTGTACTGAGGGTTATAATATACTTGAAGTGAGAACATCAGTGTGGTGTTTTCTCACCATACCATAATACAGGGCAATGACATTTCTTGAATTGAAGTTCGTAACTAGTTGGATTGGTAGGGGAACAAGATATTCTGATCAAATTAGTCTGCAGGTTTAATAGCAAGAAGAAAGTATTTAGTTCATATAGCGTTAATAGTTGTGAAAGTATAATCTGCTGTTAATTATAATGGGAAAAATGAAAGAAAATGAAATTCATAAATTAACTTCTGTCTTTATAGAGTTATGTGCAAAAAAACAAGAAAATTCTAAAAGCTGCCAAAGACTTGCCTCCTGATGCACTTATTATTGAATACAGAGGGAAATTCATGCTGAGAGAACAGTTCGAAGCTAACGGATATTTCTTTAAAAGGTTTGTTTATTCCAAATCTTTTAATAAGATGACTATTAGACACTTGTGGCGGACTTGTACCCAAGATGCAAGGGGGTCTTTATTACCTGTGATGTCTTGCGTTTTACTGTTGTCTGATTAAAAATAATTGCAGCTGGTATCTGGTTTCCCCCCTTCTCTTCTGAGCATCATTACAACTTTTTTTCAGGAATTATTTTCGTCTTTCTTTGTTCTCAGCTGGTTAAAGGATTCCCGTATTCTCATTTGGGAGTTGTGCAGTGTAAACCAGAGGTTGACAGGTTCTGCTGTCCTAAAATAATTCAGAAGGTAATGGTAAAGGCTTTCTTTTGAGAGAGATTTTCATTCTACCAGGCCAGGGACAGAACTGAATGTGGGTCAGCTTGGCCCTTTTCACTGCCATGGTTCTCTAGTTTGTGGATTACAGAGAAATGCAAATGCACGACTGCTTCCTTCTTCTGAACTATTTTCACCCCTACCATTAAATGCAGGGACACCCTGATAACGAGACATTGCAAGAAGCCTGTTGGAGAAGAGCGAGTGTAGATCTTTTGCTCAGTAAAGATGGAAGGCTTCCCAGGTATCTGCAGTAGCAGAAATACACCTTGGCAGAGTGTTTAGATGTCCAGTTTCCTCAAGAGGGTTGAGTGCCAAGTGGTTACTATGGGAAATAGGCAGGGATGGGGTTTGTTTCATCTGTGTTTTTTTTTTTTTGAGACAGCTCTGTGAGGCACCTACATTTCTACTGGAGTTTCAATTTAGAACTTGCTCTAAAAAAAGTTTATTAAGGACACTGAAGAATCTTAGCTTTGTGTCTTCCATGTTTAGTGCTTGCTCTGTTGCTATTCCTCCGTTTAAATCCTATGCAGAAGATTACATCCAGGACTGCAACTTAAGCTTTCAGCATTCCAAGAATACAGTTAGGGAATGTACCTATTAGAGTAATGAAGCTTCAAACACTCATGGATGGTTCTGAGATTAATTCAGTGCGTCTCGGCAACATCATGATACAAAGATAACTAATGTAAGAAGTAGGTTGTATTTACAGTCTTTTAAAAGGGTAACAGTCTGGTTTTCTTGTCTGTTTTTCAGGCCATATCCATTTGTTTTATTTTATTCCAAGTTTCATGGGCTAGAGATGTGTGTTGATGCAAGGACTTTTGGAAACGAAGCTCGATTCATCCGGCGCTCATGTACACCAAATGCAGAGGTGAGCATTTACATGAAGTTAAATTAGCTTATGTTTACTTGCATGTTCTTTTCTTTTTGAAGTCCTACAACTGATAATTTGAACACTTATTATAATTTCTATGCAGTTTATGTTTAATTTTAATTCATTACGATAATGTGATAACTCTCTTATCTATAGGTGAGGCATGTAATTGAAGATGGAACAATTCATCTTTATATTTACTCCATCCATAACATTCCAAAAGGAGCAGAGATTACTATAGCATTTGATTTTGATTATGGAAATTGGTAAGTATATGAACATGTTATTCTGAAATACATAAAATACTTATCAAGTCGTGGTGTATTAAGGGGGAACTTTGCTTTTTATATTATTTATGTCCTTGCATGCTTTAATAATGTGATTTTGTACCTGGGTGTTCCAGGTAATTCTGTATGTGCACCTAAGTCCAGGAGCAGTCCATTTAGTTCACATGTTACTGCACAAAGCTGACACTTTTCTGTGGTCTTCTGATAAGTCAGCTTGGCTGAACAGAGTGCGTGTCTGGGTTTTCTCAGTGTTTAATTTGTAAATTGTTTACTGTCTTTGCAGAAATAAAGAACTTTCTAGTATGTTCTGGGCTATCTTGCGAAAGCTTGAGACAACTGATCTTCATATGCTTAGTTCACTTCAAAGCAGATGTTTAGTGTGAAATTTACCACTTACGTGACATAACGTTGTAAAGTACCATTGCTTTATAGCCTGATCAAAATATGCTTGCTTGCATTCTTTTTACTTGTAGTAAATACAAAGTGGACTGTGCTTGCCTCAAAGAAAATCCTGAATGTCCGGTTCTCAGACGTTCTGAACCTACAGAAAACATCAATACTGGATATGAAACCAGAAGGAAAAAAGGAAAGAAAGAGAAGGATGTTTCAAGAGAAAAAGAGACTCAAAATCAGAACATCACATTGGACTGTGAAGGAGCAGCCACCAAAATGAAAATCGCGGATAATAAGCAGAGGAAGCTCTCTCCCCTCAGGCTGTCCATTTCCAATAACCAGGTACTGACACAAAAAGGATAACAAAACAGAGCTTTTAAATACAGATAGTCTCCTTAGTGGTTACTAAAGTAATTTTAATGAGTAGAGAAAGGGGTATGTGGATTTATCAGAAAATGATGAACTAATTGTTTAGGGCTTTCATAATGTTTCCAGTTTTTCTTCATGTTTGATTGGATTAAAGTTTTTGGTTCCCTTATCAGTTTTAACCATACACTTTTTCCTCTGAATTTCTGTATGGATCTCTAATGTAAAAGACTCAAGTCATGTTTTCAGGAGCTCCCAGTCTTTCTTGAAATGCAAGTAATTAAAAAGCCACATTACTCAGAAATTCAGTCTATTAAACATAGCAGCAAATAGTGCTGCTTCTGTAACAAATCTAACTTCTGTCTGTCTTGTAAGCTGGTTAGAAGTCTAAATAGAGTTTGGAGGGTTGGGAGGGAAGAAGGTGAGTTTTGAAGTAAGTGTGGTAAAGCTAGATGGTAATACCATGGCAGTTTTAAGATCTGTCAGTTTGAAGGAACTATTGAGAGAGATCCATAGAATCAGTAGATAAAGTTTTGTAGAGCAGATGTTGAATTCTTCACGTGAGAAGGTGGTTACCATGGTAACTACCTTTGTTTTTGCTGGGAAAGTACAATTTAAACTTTTCTTGAATGTGATGGCTTGTGATGATATTTTACACAGAGGGAGAGAGAGTTTTTGTTCTAAGTGGGAGACACTTTGAACTTTTTATTTTTTAGTGCCAGTAGGAGTGAAGGTAATAACAGTGACAGGAGCATATTTACATTGCTTTAAAATGCTTGGAAGACCAGAAGGCATGGCATGTGACTGTTAAAAGAAAGAAAAGAAAAAAAAGGTCTGCAAAGGCACTATATAAGCCTTCCAGTGATTTTTTTTGTTGTTGTTTTTAAACAAATGATAACTGGTATTTGGAACCTTCTCCTGGGCTTCTCTGATAATATACAGTGCCTATACAGAGCAGTCACAGGAGACATCAGTGTTTTTCCTAACTGAACTTAAAACAGTAAGTGTTGTGAAAAGAATAAAGCTGTTAAATGTATCTAAATATAGAAACCAATCAATTAATACTTTTTTTTCCTGTCATGAAGTATATAATGTTAAGGTAAAAGAAAGCATATGGGAAAAATACTTGTCTTAAAAGTATATTTATATTAAATAATTTTATGTGATCGTTTTATCAAAAGGTAAAATTTATGTAAAAATAATGAACAGAAGACTCTTCTCAAAGTTACTGCTTGTTTTTTCTGAAATCACAAGGCCATTAGTAGTCAGCTAACTTAATATTTCTGTAGGTCATGGCAGTCATTAGACAGTATAGTGAGGTTGTGAATGAAGAATCTCACTTCAAGGGAATACACTTCTGAGCTAAGAAAAAATTCTATGCAATTATGGTAATATCTCGTTTGGCATGACAGTATGCATTGCATTGCACTAATGGATGTTTAATATAAAGCTCCCTAATTCTTTAACTGATAAAGAACTGGCTGGGTCAGTGGCCAGTGTTATTGCCCATGTCTCTGTTGGTTTGGAGATTTAATTTGGATAATTTTATTCTGGGGGTGGATGGGTGGGCATGGGACCCTAAAATTAAAATCAGTATGCTTAAGAAAAAAGATGCAGATGTCCGAAGCTCAGATTGAAAAATATTTAGTCAGATAGTTATGTTTATAGGTTTATGCAAAGGCACAAGTGGATCTTAGCTTTCTTACATTTTTGTCTTCATTTATTGGCTTGGTTACTTTTGAAGTTGTGATCTGAGGATTCTTAGTTCTGTGTAGCTTGTAGTTTTCCCTAGTTTGGAGGAGTAGCGGAGCTTCTATAAAGCAGTCATTTCCATCTTTCAGGAGCCAGATTTTATTGATGATATAGAAGAAAAAACTCCCATTAGCAATGAAGTAGAAATGGAATCAGAGGAGCAGATTGCAGAGAGGAAAAGGAAGATGGTAAGTTGGGAAGCAAGTAGCTGCCTAAAGTTGTCACTAAGGCTTAGTGACACCTGCTCTTCCCATGCTAATTGCTGCTTTCTGTAGGCTTCTAGAATCTAAGTATATATGAAGACAGATCCGTACATGAACTTCAGCTTAAAATTCAAGGCTTGCTATTTGAGTGAGCATTTCATGTGGCTTTATCATTGCTTTCTGACAAAAATCTGCTTTTATCTTCTTTTATTTTATGTGTATATATAACCTTTTATTGCCTTAAAACAAACAAAAAAAAAGATGTCTGTCAAAATAATTAGATTTTATTTTCTTTGCTCTTTTGTTATTGCACGTTATTTTTAATAGCTCTTTTATAAATAGCACTATAAATAGTAGTAATCCTTTTAGCTCCATCGTGAAGATTGTGAATAAGTTCAAATTTGCCTGTGTTGCACCAGTCAAACAGAAGTGGCAAAAACAAAACTGGGCTGCTCATTCACTCATGAGCAATATACTTATGGGCATTCTTTCCTTGAGACAAGCACGTGTTGCTCTCAGTGTGTTGCTGTTGAGCTGCGGGAATTTCAAATAATTAAAGCTTTAAATAGAAGCAGCCAAATTCCACAGCATCTGTACTGTCTTCAGCAGTGCTCTGCTCAGATATTTACCTCTGTAAAAGGACTAGGACTTGAATTATGGTTTGACAGAAAATGTAACTTCTGTGGGTGATGTGTCATTAACTTATTTTGAAATAGTGATTCTTCAATGCTGATTGCAGCTTTTGATATAGTTTGTGGCACTTGGAAAATTGAGTCAGAGGATAATGAAATTTTTTGTTGTGTTTATTCTGTATGTTTAGTGGTACTTAATCTTTCTGGTCATGAGTGACTCATTGTTTTTTAAATACTATACAAACAAGTAAGTGAGCCAATAATGTATGAGGCTAGCAATATAGTAAGAAGCAATTATTTCTAGCAAGTTCTTAAATCCAAAGCAGAACTCTCTTCCTGTTTGTCAGGATTGATGAGAACACAATCATTTCTTCGTAAGTCTGCAGTAATTGCAGTTACTCTAACATCTCCCTTTCCTTTGGGCTTTTGCTGAAATTGATCTGCATGTCAACATACATTGTACATGTTCTGAAGAAAAAAAAAAAGTCACTGTATTTACATATGTGAAAGATTATGACTGAAATGTGATGACAATTATTGTTATATCCATCAGACAAGAGAAGAACGGAAAATGGAAGCTATCTTGCAAGCTTTTGCCAGATTAGAAAAAAGAGAAAAAAGAAGAGAACAGGCTTTGGAAAGGATCAGCACAGCAAAAACTGAGGTTAAATCAGAATGCAAGGAACCACAGATTCTCAATGACACTGAATTTATTCAGGTAGTTGTCTGAATCTTTATTTTAAGGCTAGCTTTTAACATGGCACTGTTTATCTGTGTATTGAACCACATATAAAGATACTGGGGGAGTGTTAACAGATGCTCATTCCTAGGCACAGGAGATGGTATTCATTAGACACCTTCTGTAACCAGTGGGAAAATACATGTTTTGTCAATAGGTTATTCAGAACAGGTTGTCTTTACTCTCTTGTTGCTGGTTACTAGTGCACTTCTGCCCTTGCAGATGTTTGCATGGCTTCTCAGTTTGGATTGTTCTGTCAGCTTTTGCTGTTAATTATCTTACAGAGCTAAGCTATAAATTCACTAGTAAATTACATCAGTCAGCTATAAATGAGAAAAACTATATCGAATTGAAAGATACTCTGATGTAAGCTGCTGATTTCTAGCCCACAGGTGAATGTGATATAGCAGTTACAGAAAATTGTGGTAGTTCTGACCAGTGACTGGTCTGTGTGAGTTACCTGATGCATCACTGCCAGAACGCTGGGAGGAAAGTATGGGAAGTCTAACAGCCTGCCTTGAAGAAAGACAGAGATATTAACTATGAAGCATTTTAGTTGTAAAAATAGAAATGATATAAAGGCATATAATAAAGACATATTAAGAGGGAGCTTACAATTCCTTTTGAGAAAAGACATATAGCTTTGCATGTGTTAGATCCATTTACTAGATTGGTGTTTTGTACCAGGAACCAGCAAAGGAAGAAGCTGTCACTAAGCCTACCCCAGCCAAGGTTAATAGAGCTAAACAGAGAAAAAGCTTCTCTCGAAGCAGAACTCATATTGGACAGCAGCGTAGACGGCACAGAACTGTGAGCATGTGTTCAGATATTCAGCCATCTTCTCCTGATGTGGAAGTAACATCACAACATAATGAAACTGAGAATGCTGCACTGGTGGCTGAGCCAGAAGCAGAAACTGTTGTTACAGAAATGGTTACGGAAACAGAAGCTCCAGCACTTAATAAATGTCCTACTAAGTATCCTAAAACAAAGAAGGTATGTCTCTTAAGGGATGGGGAGAAAAAGATGGACTTCCATGGAGTTTTTAAAAGATTATAGGCAGCTGCCTCTGTATCTTAAACTATATATTATTTTTTAAAAATTTTCTTTAAAAATTACACAGCCGCTCACTGATATTAATTATGATTTAAAAATTCTGCATTACATCCATTTAGATACTAAGTTTTAATACAGCTTTCAGCTCATTTTTGGAGCAAATGTTTTCTAAGGACAGTACTTTCTAAATGGACTGGATTTTGTGTGTGTATAAACATACAAAACTTAAGTAAAACTGTTAATTACAAGGGGGGGGAGGACATCAGTCAACTTTCCTTATTTTATTCATCATATGGTTTATAAGGTATCTTAGTGGCAGTAAACAGAATATCTCAATGGAAATAATGAGCTTTCATTGTTTTTGAGGTGTCTCTTCTGCTAGTAATGCTCATAAAAGCTTAAAACCATCCATCTTACAACTAAGAAGGCAGTTTTTATCTTCCAGTCTGTATTGCAGAGGATGATTAAAGCTGCTTATTTTGAAAACATAAAAAATTTGAGTGTGAACCTCTTAAGTATTTCAAATACTTGCATGCATATTTGAGTTCAGTTGCTTTAGTTCTTGATCCCTGTTAATAGGAACTAAGATACACTGGCCTGTTCTTCAGAAACAGAAGAACAACAAAACCTCTGTTGTGTAGCACAGTTCTACACTGATTCCTACCATCGCCCAGTTAACTTCACCAAAGCCTTCCTCATGTTCTCAGTCTCATATACAAGGAATACTTGTATTCTTAAACTTGCAGCCTGGAAATTGTTTTCTGGTTTGTGTAATGGATGACTAGGTGAAGAATAAGATTAAAAACTGAAAGCTACTAATGAAAACATTCAAAAAATGCTTTTTTTTTTTTTTTCCTCTTTGTGTAGCACTTGGTAAATGAATGGTTAAGTGAAAAGAGTGATAAGACAGGGAAGCCTACAGACAGTGTTTCAGAAAGGCCTCTGCGTATAACCACCGACCCTGAAGTTCTGGCTACTCAACTGAATTCTCTACCAGGTCTCACTTACAGCCCACATGTATACTCTACTCCAAAGCACTATATTCGTTTTACTTCACCATTCCTTTCAGAAAAGAGGAGGAAAAAAGAACCTGTGGAAAACATGACCGGCTCTTGTAAGAAGGTAATGCTTCTCTTCATTACGGTTCCCCATGCCTAATTACTTAAAAATAAGTCTTTATTTGCTTGCATGAATTCCAGCAGAGAAAAACTGCTTGGCAAGTGATTTGTAATGCATATTTCAGTGTGTATCTTTAAATTGTTAAGTCACTGATCTGAACTTATTTTATTACAGCGTTGGTTGAAGCAGGCTTTGGAAGAAGAAAACTCAACAGTGATTGATAGGTTTAATTCGCCATTGCTAGAGGGATCTAGAAGTCCAGCCATCAACGGTGAAAATAAAAGCCCCTTATTACTGAATGACAGCTGTTCCTTAACAGGTGAAGGTTCCACTAATAAAATTCATACAAGTTATGTCTGAGTAGGTAGATGTGGAGGACTGAAGTTTTTTAAAGCAATGAGTTAATGAAAATTCCAGCAATATTTGCCCTGTTTACTGATGTTTTGCCTTTTGGATTGTTGTTGGAAAGAAAAGCTCAGTTAAATAATTGTTGGTTTTATTTTCCCTCTTTCTTTAATGTATAATTGATACTAAACAAGTAACAACCATTTCTCATAGTAAACGTGGACATTCAGTCAAGAAAAAGGCTAATGGTTTGGAGTATGATTATCAGGAAGAGGTTAGATTATACATTATTTGTACATGCTGCTAGGGTTAGATTTACTTTTAAATTCAGTGGCCCCATTGCATGTGGGAAAGTTAGTCAGCTTTTCGGGAATGATGGGAAATGGAAGCATGCTAGAAGCTAAACACAGTTTCTTAAGGATATGGAACATACTAGACGATGATCCCTCGAATTTCCACTTCTTAGGTAAACAATTGTATGGAAATATAAACAGTGCTTCCATTATCTTAGTGGAAAAAAAAAAACTAAAGAAAAAAATAGTGATTTCGGCTTCTCATTAATTATTCTTCAGGAATTCTGCCCACAAAGTGTTTGTCTTAGTAACGTTTGAATGTAGAATTTATAATTTTACTGCCTCAAGCGTTTAACTGGGATTGCTGTATTTATATCTTTAGCTTTTTTTCTGGTTTTAATGCAGATCTAACAACACCTCTAAAAAAACGAAGACTGTACCAGCTGTTGGAGTCTGCATTCTCAGAAACCTCTACACCTACTCCTTCTCCATATGCCACACCAACTCATGCTGATATTGCTGCCTCAGAGCCATTGATGTTTGCTACTCCTCCTAGGGTAAAAACAGAGGATGAAGCTTGTAGAAATGGTTACAAACCCATTTATTCACCAGTTACTCCTGTAACTCCATGTATACATGGAAATACCATGCACTTTGAGGTGAGCATTGTAATGCATTTCAGATTCTTTATCATTATTGTATAAATCAGTATTTGTAGTCCTGTTACAAGGGGGTGTCTTAAGTTTCTCTACGCTGACAGTTAAATTGACTTTCCATTTCTTCTTGTTCATCTAGAATATTTCCTCACCTGACAGTTCCCCAGAAGTAAAAAGGCGAGCTTACACTCAAGAGGTAAGGATATTTGCTAAAATCTCTGAATATTTGCTTAAATTCATTTCTATGTCTTCAATATAACAGATGAGTACAAAAAACAATGCTTGGGTTTTTCAGGCTGTATCTAGATTTAAATTAACATTCTCCTTTTTATCAATGTTTCTTAAATGCTTGAGCCTAATTTGACTTAGACTGAGAGAGCACAGAAGGATAAATATTATGGTTTTGGTGGATTACTTGACGTACAGCGAGTGCTACGGGCGTGTGCCCGGAGTTTCCCGGGTAAGGGTGTGCTCCATTCCATGCGATCGAGCCGTACGGTCGAACCACTAGAGGGCGACTTGGTTTATAGATACGAGAACTTCTACAGGGGTGTTTCTGTCTGAAAGATGAAAAGTTCCACAGCAGTGTGGAACTTGAGTTGTGTGACAGCTACCACATTTACATAACTGTCTTGAACCGTGAACTTAATAGCACCTGAAAAGAACAGGTAAAAGTAACTAGTGATAAAACGTTCAGGTGGTTATTTCTGGAGAGCTTCACTTCTGGTGTAAATGAATGACCCAGATACTTTCTGTGGGCTAAGTAGATACGTATATAGAAAACTTCATTGTTTTTAGGTCAAAATGTTAACAAATATTGGAACACAAAACTTTTCATGCAGTCATAGCAGTTGATTGAATTTAACAGCTACTTTCAAACTAATGTAATTGACTATTTCAGCATTTAGCTGACTCAAAAAGAGGAGTTTTACTTAAGAATTTTCTGTTGTAAAAGAAATAATTGAAATAGCATTACAAAACCCTAAAACAGGTTGGTTTAGTAAGGATACTTCTAAGCTTGGGCATGTGCTGAGTGTTTTTATGGTTTGTACAATTACAAGAAGTACTAAAGTCAGTTTATTTAGCTTCTCATATGTTTTCCTCTGCAGAACCATGAATTTACTATGGTCTTAAAGTTCCCCAGTGTCCTGGAAAAGCTTCCCCCTCACCACCTTTTTTTTCTTGAAATAAATTTTTTTACACCAAAGATCTGTTTTATGTTTAAGTTCAGTTCCTTTGCAACCAAGGACTTGTTCCTGTTGAAGCTGTTCTTCATTTCTCAGTCATAAGCAAACACTGGTTCTGAAAGCTTATTTTGATGTGGGTTAATATATATTTTTTTTATTTAAAATCCTTTTAATGGTGGTAGTAGAGGAAAGTATCTGGCTACAGAGCTATTTCTTAAACTCATGGTAGTGCGAAGTTCTTAATCTCATTTAAAGGCATAGATGAACGTCAGAATGATTTTACTCTGTAGTTGCAATATGGAAGAAAAATTTACATGTTTTCTTCTTTTATTTTTCATGCAGGGATATGACAGAGCATCGATTCTAGCACTGAGTTCTTTCAGAAATTCCAACCTGACAGAAATGGGCCTGCAGGAAATAAAGACTATTGGATATTCCAGTCCAAGAAACAGGACTGATGCGACACGGCAGTGCACAGGAGAAATGGAATCTGTGTCAGACCTCCAGCTGGGACTCGAAGTAATTGAGCAAAGCACACTGCATAAAAACCTGGAAGCCCCTACACATGATAGGACTGATTCAAGCAGCCAATTAGAAACTGCTCATTGTGGACGGGGCACAATTTATTCTTCCTGGGTAAAAAGTCCCGACAGGACAGGTGTAAATTTCTCAATGAATTCTAATTTGAGGGACTTGACCCCTTCACATCAGTTGGAGGTAGGAGGTGGATTCAGAATAAGTGAGTCAAAGTGCCTGATTCAAGACGATGCTAGAGGCATGTTCATGGAAGCATCTGTTTTTTGTACTTCAGAAGATGGAATTGCATCTGGCTTTGGAAGGACTGTCAATAATGACAACTTGATGGATGGGAATTGCACACCCCAGAATCCTCCACAGAAGAAAAAGGTTATAATTTTAAGAATCATTTTGTCTTTCTCACATAGGCTATATATCTTACGTATTTTTCAATAGCAGAAAGAAACATTAATAATAATAAAAATCTGGCTGATTTATATTTAATGTAGATATTATGCAGGAGAACTTAAGAAGAGGAAAGTTGCATACATCCATTAATACATTCAGATTTTCGAAGTAATATATAAAAATATAATTATTTTTACTTCATGTTATTTCACATGAGTCTCAAATGAATTAATAAATAACTGCTTTTCAGGTTTGAAAACGGTTGCTTGTGCTACCAAGTATTAAAATATTCTATTAGACAGAATAGTGCCAACCTAAATCATGTACAGAGAAAATCTCTGAATTATTACAAGTTGCATTAGAGGTTTATGATTCTAATGCTTCAGAATTCTCATTTTTATGTACTTACAGTATCTTTGTTTTGCTGTTACAAACACACACAAACCTATAGGTACAAGGAATCCTTTATAGAAGAAGAAATAAAGCAGTTGCTTTGGTAGACAAGCACAATCAAAATTTGCTGTTCTTGTCAAACAGCCCCTGTAGGTAACAGCTTTCAGTGTGCTCAGCTGGAAATAAAGTTGGAAGTTAACCTGTGGGAATATCCTGACTACTGTCAGGTTAAAACTCCTTGATTCCATGCAGAAAAGTTGACAAATGTTAAAAGTAGTGGTTTCCATTGCAGCAGTTACTGAGTCTGTCTTCTAACAGTCTGCAGAATTTAGTGATTTATATTCTTCATGGAAGTAATAGTTGAGGGACTGGAGGTGAGTTTTGTCTGCGTGTGTACGTACATTCATGCCCAGTGGGGTGTTTTGGTTCCATCATGTCCCCTTGCACTTCTTGGGGTGCATCCTACAAGGGAGTGGCTGTGACTGTACTATCACAAGTTGCTTTACCTCTCTTTGCACCCAGACATAACTGTAACAAGGTAGTAGCTGGGTTCTCACCTGGTTCTGACCCTGAGAAGTTCAGTAGTTCCCTTTCATGTTACTGTATCCCTGCTGCTTTTGCAAAGCCATGTGAACATAGAAGTTGTTAAAACTTGTTGAGCTGCTGCTTTTATCTGAAGGTGAAGTGAATTTCTCCTCAAATTGCAGCAGCACCTGATGGGTGCATTGGTAACACCCTGTTCTCTTAGTGGCAGACATTCTTTTCATGGTTGTTACTGCTCAGTGCTTGCACTGCATTGATGCACAAATGAAACACTTGTTGTTCTCCCTCTGCCTCCCCTGCACACGCTCAGAATTCCTGTCTAAAATCTCGCTTTGAGGAAACAATCAGAGGAAATTGTATCTCTGAGAGAATGGTTTTCTGTTTTTGTAAGGGCGCACACACAAATTCAAGTACACTTTGCAGTCTAAAAGGAAGAGGGCAGATTTCACTTAAGGTGAGGGGGGAATTCAGGATTTTTGTAGAATAGCAGTAGAAGCCCATGAATTTGTGAGAAATACATGTCCTTGTGCATTTATTAAAGGAGGGGCTTCTGTATCTCAGCATCTTTATGAATGTTTCCTTCTTTCAGCACTTTACAAGTTTATCCCATTTCAATATGTCTCTGTACATGGTGGGCACAAATCACAGATTTAATCTGTTCTTAACATCTAAGCTTTGCTTTAATCTTCACAGGATCCCACTCCTGTGATGTGGGAAGTATAAAGTATTTCAGAGCAAGATCAGTTCTAAACCTTGACTTTCTCCTAGGAAAAATTAACTGGTTTTGATTTCTTATGCTGTCATACAGATGAGTTTTTAGTGGATAGAAAACAACCATGTGGGGCTGTAGACAGAGCAGCCTTCTTGCTTTCTAGCTCTGAGTAGAAGTGGATGTCTGTGTTTAGTGAGAACTAAGCAAGTTCCCTGATATGTAGCAGGAAAGACATGAAATGAAATTTCCACAACACAGATTTCCTTAAAAAAAAAAAGTCTGAATGTCAGCACTTCAGCATTCTGCATCAAATTGTGAAGATACATAATGAAAGCATTTGAAAATCTTTTTTTTTCTCAGTGGAAGTAATCTATTAATATTCTTGAATTTTAATCTGTGGAAGTTTCTGTGTTCTAATTTACGAAAGAACTTGTCTGTATGTGTGTATATGTATATACACAGATGCGAAGTAGGACTGCTCATCTCTTCCTGGATCATTGGCTTTGGTAACAAACTTTTTACTTGAAATTGATCACTGAAATATTTTCTGAATTGATATTGTAGAGTACAGAAAAGACACTGATTTAAAATAAATTGTGGAAAATATGTCATGAGGCAAATTCTTTATGTTAAGAAAAACATATGAGGAGCTCAAAGAATCTCATGATTTATGCAGGAGAGTGAAGCAAAAGTTTGGTAGATTTTTCACACAGGATCCAGGGTGAAAGTGATTCAATCTCAAACTCAGCATTATTTTATCAGTATGCTCTTTGCAGTTCCAGGAGGAACCACAAAGTACTTCGTAGCTTCAGCCAACGGCATGAATTCAGCAGCAAACCTTTTCTGACCTGCATCAACTTCTGCCTCTTCCCTGGGCAAAATGCACACCTCCTTCTCTTGGCAGAAGCTCTTTGCATCTTCTTTGTACTCATTAATACCTTGGTGCCCTGTAAATTTGCTCTTCTGTTAAGCTCCATGCATTTTCTTTTAGAACCAAGTAGATGGTATCTTACTGAGGGAATGTATTCAACTGAAAATGTCAAGAGGGAAACAAGTCAACTTTCTTCTGATCTTTCTCCATAGGTATCCTTGCTAGAATACCGTAAGAGACAACGAGAAGCTAGAAAAAGTGGCTCAAAGACAGAAAACTTTCCCCTGGTTACTGTATCTCCTCATGCTGCTGGTGGAGGAAGCATAAATAGTAACAGTGGTGCTAATGATGGGTTTAACAACAGTAGTGAAAATGGGGAACAAACTGATAATGCTGCGAGCCTGCCTGTACCACTGCCAACTGCTGTTTATAATGCAGCTCCAGAAGATGTGGGCAACAACAGTGCAACCAAGGAAACTTCTTCCAGTGAGAAGAACGAGCCTGAAGTTCAGTGGTAAGTTACAGATTGGTAAGACAAAAGTTCTGAAACACTGTTTACTTGATTGTGTGTCACTTCTATTCCGAGTCTGTTTTTTGTTAATAAGATTACTGATCTTTTTCAGCCCTTTTTTTCAGATTAGAACAGTTGTCTGACCTCTTACCTCAGCAATATAACAGATACCTCATAAAGAAGAGAATATATAGAAAATTATCTGTAATATATGTCAACTTATTTTTAGTCAGGGTGTATTTTTTTTTTAAGAGCAAAAAAAGCTTTAGCATGAACAAGACAGGTCACCTAGTTCTGTAAGTTATAAAGTTTAATTTGAGGCCAGTTGTGAATTGTGAGAAAATGGCATCGCAATCCTTCCGCAGTTGCACAGATCCTGCAGAGTGTTCTTGGTAAGGTGTGGAGGTGGGAGCTGGATGGAGAGGGTGCTGTAAGGGCTGTGAGAGCAGAGTCTGCTTTTCAGCATGGCCTCAGCTCTGCGTTAAGCTTCCTTGTGTTGCCACTTCTTTATCTATGGCTGAAGATTTGTTCTCTTAAATTTCAAAAGCTTTCCAAAGTACCAGAGGGAAGAAGGAACCCTGTGATGATGAACAGGAGCTTCTAGAAGACTATAGGAAGTCTTTTTCAGTGATCTAGTTGGAATGCATTTTTCTTGTTTGCTGTTACTTACAGCATACAGTGACAGCATGCAGTCTACCTAGCAGCTCCTTCTGCTCAAGTAGGCAGTGTGTGGAGACACTTGTGTAGTTGCTTATGGTGGCTGGATGGCTCCCCTGTGTGCAAACTGTATTGTACTCCACACCAGATATTCCAGATATTTAAAAGCAGATGCAGTGTGAAGGGGGATGACATAGGATGGCTTCAATTTGTGCAGCTTTTCCCACTGCATTCTTTGGTAGCCTGAAAATAGCTAGTCATTCTGCCAACTCTGTCTCCAAAATATTACTGGAACAAAATAAGCACTGCAGTTCTTTATGCTGTAGTGAAGGCCTGAGAGTGTTGCAGATGAACATGGGCTGAGGCATTTAGCACCGCTCTGCTTAGATGCTCCAGCTGTTCCAGAACAGAAGGAGTTTGCAGAGCCAACTCAAGGGACAACATAAGTGCAGTCTTCAGTATCTGACTGAAAAGTGGCTGTAAGTTCATTATATAGAAGGCAGTGTACTGTATTTCAAGGAAAAAGTGTGGGGTATAGGCTGAACCCCAACATTTATTTCAGTTGCAACAGTGTTGTAGAGTATTGCCATATGTTCTTGCCTAAAAGAATAATTGAGTTTATAATTAGAGTGCTGTCATTACTGTTCTCGATCACGTTGCGAGTGTGTAACTGATAGCAAGAGGCATAGCTGTCATTTCACTTACTATCTAGCAAGGTAAATCTGGAAGCTTAAATAGTTTGCATCTGTAGTTGTGTAATATTCACAGTTGCGGATCTGCTATTAGAGAGCAAGTTATTTTATAGTAAAGATAGGACTTCTGAAGGCTGCTTTCTACAAATGGAGAGTATGAAGCAGTACTCACTGCGTGTATTTTTTAAAATGTGCATTTTGGTTTGTCAGCTGAGAATTAAAAAAGGAAAACAAAAACACAAAACAACTCCAGACATGTATGGAAGAAAGGAATTGATATTTCTATAATGTAACAAGGTTGCAGGAAATCAGTGTATTTAAAATGTGAGAAAACAGACCTAAAATGGCTAACAAATGGCATTTCTCCTGTAGGGTGAGTTATTTGGCTGTTATGTGCAGTCAGCCATGTAAACTTTCTGTGCCCCAGTATTCGCATATATGTTGTCTGAAATTTGGTCCGTGGGAGTACATCTTAAATGAGAATATGCTTCCCTCTTCCAGGACTGCATCAACCTCTGTGGAACAAGTGAGAGAACGAAGTTATCATAGAGCTTTGCTTCTCAGTGATCATAGGAAAGACAAGGACTGTGGTGAGTTCACTTACTACACTGAAGGTGGATACCTCTAAGCAGTTCCCCCTGGTAGCTCTTAATCGTTCTAATGCTGTGTTTGGGTCTGCTTCATCTGTAGGGGGAGAGTCACCCTGTAGTCCATGCTCACCGTCCCATGTTCAGTCTCCCAACTTCATCTCATTCAAATCTCATTTTCCAGTTACAGCTTAAGGTCCATTCTTTCGCTGAATGTATGGAAGGTCAGTAAGCAGATGACCTTATATGACACTTGATGTATTTGAATGATCTCTTACAACAACTTCAAGTAGCTCTTTTAAAGTCAAATACAGAGTGCTTAGTGTTCTTTACAAGATACTTTTTTTTCTTCACTTTAATATTAATCTCTAATTTATGTTTATAGAACCTGATCCTGAAAATCCAGAGCCTACTTCTGAATGTCCATCCCCAGATACTTCACAGAAGACATGCAAGAGTCCTTCAAAAGCAAGCAAGGTAATACACTGTGTATGCAGGTGCACGTGCACTTGGTGTGCATCGTAACTGTATGTACTTGTCTCCATTTGATCATCGTGCTTTATTTACTATTTAGATGAAGATATACGTGACATTTCTGTTAAATTACGTAACATGGGTAAACATCTGTTAGCACATTTGCAGACCTTCCAGCATGCTAAAAAGTTTGTGTCCCTCCAGTAGCCATATCTGCTTCTCTATGGTTTTGCGTTCTGTAGGCACAGAAGAGGTTTTGTCAGTGGATTCAGTATTGCATCAGTTCTGCAGGTGAAATGCTGAAGAACTGACAGAACTGACAGCAGTAAAATGACTGAAGTAGTGCTCCCCTTAGTAGAAGCTGGCTCTTGCCAGGCCAGCAGTAGCACTGCTTCTCAGTAGAGGCAGCGGCATGAGGAGGAATTATGAAATGCAGTAATTCAGGTTGTAATGACCAGTGACTTTGCTTGCGTTCTGCCAGTTCTAGAATGTTAAATCATTCTGAAAAATACTTTGTAAAAATACTTTGTTTTAGTAGTAATTATTCCTTTCAGACTTGGAAATGCGAAGCTCACAAATAACAGATTCTGACTTAGCCCCAACAGGCCGTATTTCTGTTACTACTTCCAAATGCATTTGCTGATCTTTGATTTTAGAGTATAGTTTGTTTGTACTTGCTAGAAATGATGCCTGTACTAAGCTTAAGCTTCTTCCTCTCGCAGGTTTTCATATATCAAATGCATTCTGTGCCTTAATGTTTTTCTGCCATCATCAGAGAGCACTATTCTGAGAAGCTTCTTCTTGCTTTAATGCTTTCATAACTAAAATGTTCTGAACGTTTTGCTCTCTTTCTTTTTGTTCTAGCCCTCTTCACCGAGTCCTGTAGTTTCAGCGCCATCACTGGGAAAAACACCCACAAAGCCAGATTCACACTGGGACACTGCAGCTAATGCACCAGAGGCAGAAGGTGTGAATCATCCAAAATCAGAGCTGCAACAAAAACAGCTGACAAATAATGTCCAAGCACTTTCAAAAACTCATCCATCTCAATCACATCTGCGCAGTTCTGCTGAGCAACTTTCACATTCACAGAAGTTGCCTTCTGCACCTTTGAAGCTCCATTGTCCCCCTTCGCCTCACGTAGAAAATCCCCCAAAGCCATCGACGCCCCACGCGCCCGTGCAGCACGGTTATCTCTCACCAAAGCCTCACTCGCAGCAGTTGGGATCTCCGTACAGACCTCATCATCCACAGTCACCTCAAGTCGGAACACCCCAGAGGGAAACGCACCGTGGTTTCTATCCCGCAGCGCCAACCCTTCAGCCCAGTAATCAGCAGCAGGCCAGCGGGCCGCTGTTCGCTCAGACAGCTTCAGGACAATCCTCGGCTTCTTACAGCCAGTTCAACCAACAGAATCTGAACAGCAATGCCCCACCTCCCCCACCTCCTCCACCCCCTTCTTCCACCTACTATCAGAACCAGCAGCCCTCTGGAAACTTTCAGAGTTACAGTCAACTGAAGGGTAGCATCCCCCAACAGACTGTGTTTTCATCTGGACCAAATCAAGCACTTCCTGGCTCTGCGGGTCAGCAGACAGTGCCGGGACACCACGTAACTGCAGGGCATTTCTTGCCCTCTCAGACCCCCAGTATTCATCACCAGGCTTCAGCGTCTGCTGCTCCTCCTCCTCCGCCACCACCCCCTGCTCCGGGCCCTCACCTGGTTCAGCAGCAGAGCACCCATCAGCAGCATTCTGTAGCACACGTCGTCGGCCCGGTTCACGCTGTGGCGGTGGCTCCCGGATCCCACATTCACTCTCAAGCTGCCGGTCACCATCTGCCGCCCCCGCCTCCGCCGCCGGGCCCCATTCCCCACCACCAGCCTCCTCATCCTCCAGCCGGACACCAAGGTTTGCAAGCACAACACCAGCACGTTGTAAACTCTGCTCCTCCTCCCCCTCCGCCTCCCCCATCCAACGTTATAGGCTCGGGGCACCACCCGGCATCGGCACAAGGGTTACACCACCCATCGCATCAAGGACCCCCCCATTTTCCCTCAGGCGCTCACACGAGCGTGTCTTCCTATTCCTCGCAAGCCCCCCACCACACGACGTTAGGACCCGGACCTCAACATCAGCCTGCTGGAACAGGGCCTCATTGTCCGCTCCCTGGTCAGGGTCCCCACATCCAACCTCAAGGACCAAACAGTATTGCAACCCCCACCGCTTCAGGGTTCTGCCCGCACCCTGGCTCAGTAACGCTTCCGCACGCAGTGCAAGGACCGCAGCAGGCGTCACCGGTGCCTGGACAGATCCCCATTCACAGAGCACAGGTGCCGCCCACCTTTCAGAACAATTACCATGGTTCAGGGTGGCATTAAAACGGATCCCCTTAATCCTAAACATTTTTAAAATGTTCTGTAATATAAACTGTGTATATTTCATATGTACCTGTGGGAGGTACTTTTTAAAGCTTGTACATGATACTTTGTATAAAAGCGAACACCAGTGCTCTCTCATTGTATCTTTCCATTTTTTTGCTTTTTAAAATTCCCGGAAACGTGCTGTTCAGCCAGTATTAGGTATTCCTTTTTATTTTGTAAGTGAACATTCCAGCTGTTTTTTCGGGCAGTAGGTTTGATGCTGCATAATCTTTAAAGTTTTATCGTTGCAGTTAAATTCATTTAGTGAATGTTTTCTATATTACTTTTATACATATGTAATTAAATAAGTACACAGGCTAAGTGATGGCACTAACAACTTTTTTTTTTTCCATTTTCTTCTGTCGACAGTTTTGTGTGCATAGAGATAGAAAACAATGCAATACAAATTTTTATAGTTTTGGTGTGGACATGGCTTTTTGTTTCATCAGTTATTTGCAGAAAATGTAATTTAATGTATAGACCGTTTCTAATGTCTGAGTGCTGTAAATACTGTATTTCTTTTGCTTGTAAAATTGCTTAAAGCTACTTTCATTTGATAGAGTAATGTATATAATAAGTCTCTTTTGCAAAAAAAAAAAAAAGTGTGATCTTTGTGAAAGTAGTACAGTATATGATCTTTAATTTTTTTTAATATACTGTCACATTGCAGCACTGGTTGGGCATTTTAATTCATGTTAATAAATCACAATTATGTCAGTTTTAACCACTTGTCCGGAAGGGGTGCTGTGTGTTGAGGGCTGTGGGCACAGAGAGCAGCCCTGCCTGCTGGGTGGCTGTTCCTCCTGTGTGGTGTCTGCTCATGGCCTTCCTGTCATTGCACAGCTGGCTGTAGCAGTGAGTGCAGGAGGGGATTTTTGTTCCCTTGCTGAGCTTAGAGGAGAGGAAAAATAGTTTTGATTCAGGCAGGGTCTGCTGTCAGGTAATGCAGGGTACGGTTATTAAGTATGTCAGTTTATTTAATGTTAATTCATGCATACCAACGCAGTGTGTCTAACATATGCCAGCACAATGGTGCAGTAAAGCTCTATCAGATGATGTTCTTATTTTAGTTACAAATCACAGCACCACCTGCACGAGTCAGTACGTGTGTTCCTGCTTCTGTTGGAGCTCTTACTGCAGTATGGTGGGAGTGAGGCCTTTATAGCGTAGCTGTGTATGAGAACGTCCTGCAGCTCATCAGTGAGTGTGCTGAATTCTATTCACATAACAGAACAAATGCTTGCTGGCTCTCTTTCAGAATCCAGAGAAGAAAACCAGCGTGCACCTTCCTCTGCTCTGGCTGCTAGAAAACCTGCCACTGGACAGGATGGGAAATGGCACTTCCTACTGACTGAGAAAAAGTGGTAATTCTTAGACTATAGACACTACTTAAAATTATTTGCTCATAATTATCAGAACTTCAAGTTGCTTCCCTGAACAGTCAATGGCTCTGCAAAACACACAAACATGATATGGAATATGCTGTCTTCTGTGCGGTCGTGCAGTAGAAGCATATTGCCCAGCTACCAACCAATGCAGCAGAAAAAAGAAAAAGCACACTCCTGAGAAATCGTGGCCATAGTTCACAGCTGGTTAACTGGAGCCACCTCCATCTGTGACCTATTATTTGTTAGCACTTTACACTGCGGTTATCGTGTGACCGGGGGGGCAGCAGAACAGGCCCAGCATTGGCTGTCTCTTCCTAAGGTTTGTTCTGTCACAGTGGTCAACCAAATGGAAAGGAGTGCAGCAGCGGTGAGTCCCCTTATTTGACTTGCATTTTAAACTGGTGCAAACGCTGATATTCTCTGTATTTAAGAACAGCCCTGAGATCAGTTGCAGCATCCAGACACTACCAACAGCATGGCCAGGTGTGAAGCGTAACGTTTTACCTCTTTGGATTCCTTTGTAGCCTTTTGTTTCTTCTCACCAGTGTCATCCTTGAGGCCTTTAAAAGCAGTTCCTGTGAGAAGAGGGAAGCAGAATGCAGAGGCACCCGGTGCTGACACCCCGTTGGTGCAGGGCCACAGCACAGGATGAGTTTCTGCAGCCCGTAGCCTTGGTGGTGCGCTCCTTGGCCGCCCCTGGGTCTCTTTTGGATGAGGTGTGTACGGATGTAGGGAGAGGGTAAGCAGCTGCTTGCTTACGTGAAGTTAAAACACCTTGAATGAAACACGACTCAGTTTGGTCTCATTTCATTTAACACCCCACAACTGCAGCCCATTGTTCCCCGTTACCCTTCAGAAGGATTGGATTTATCCCATGCGATGTTGGTTACGGCTGAACAGAGAGCTGCGCTTCAGCCCGGGTCACCCCCACCCACCGCCAGCACGGCGCGTCATTCTAGCCAACAGTGGGCTTAGGGCTATCAAAGATGCCAATGACAGCACACTGTCTGAAAAAACAAAACACTTTAATTAGACAACTGCAAGCACCTCAAACAACTGGTTATTGTTACAGCATGGGGCTATTTTCTCACAATCTAGTTATTGCAAAGGCATGTGAATAAATTTCATATGGACAAAATCAGTAAAAAGTGGCACCATAGTTACATGAAAATCAGAACTAAGCTTACATTCATCCCACTGACTTCTAAAAGAGGCCAAAACACACCTCCATATCGTACATTCTAAAATCTGTATTGCCTATAAGCCTCAGTCTATGTAGCTTTTTTCCTAGGAAAGCGTAGTTTTGCGTGCAACGTACAAAGAAGAACTGCATGTCTAGTTATGGGGAAAAATAAAGCTAGTGCAATTTGTTTTAGAAACATGTAAAGCTATGAATGGGATGAGCATGATCTCACTTCTTGCATTTTACTCACTGCACTGTAAATATTTGCAGCTGTCCTCCCTTTGCTGACTCAAGCACACGCTTTTATTATAAAAGATCAGTAATTCTACACAGAGTGGTTCTCATGCTCGACCTTTAATTTGTTTCTTAAGGTATAGTACAACTTACAGTGCTTAGAAAAAGGCAACACCATATGGTACCATGTCTTCACTATCACATTGTAAGGGAAATTGCTTTTTTCTTTCCTTAAAAGCAATTAAAATAGGCAAAAGTTCTAAAAGGGAGTGCTAAATGATAATGCATACTTTATTAGAAAGAAGTCTAGCCTTCCTTTAAAGTGCCATTTGGGGAATGAAATCCTGTAAACCAGAGCCACTTTGTTTAAAATCCAATGAACGGGAACTGCTACAGAATAGAAAGTTTACACAATTCCTTAAAGCAGTTTGAAGTCCACTACATGCAATTGGTTTGCTATAAAGCTCTCTAAAACTTAGTAGCTTTACTCTGAAATTGAGTCCCCGGTCCCGTATTTAAATGGAAATAAACATTTACAGGGTGCATTTACATACACTATAATACAAGAATGACGTCCCTTTGCCAGAAGATAAAATTGTACAATTCCTTGCCGTAACTCACTTCTGACTTCATAAATTTCTTATGCTTGTAAATTATATAATATGCATCAGCTAAAATAGTTTTTTTCATAAATAGTTACAAAACTTGCCAAAACACATGGGAGGAAGTTTCTTTTGTTCAAAAATCTGACATCTGAATGCCACACAACACAAGAAACAATGCTTAAAGACACGTTAAGTGTTTTCTGAAGAAAGTGGGTGAGTAAACTACTAGCTGAGGACAAAAAGACTACCCTTCCCCAAGAACACAGTGCACAAAAAGCAAAATGTCAAACAGTACCTCAAGCAAAATAAAGGTCTGAGGATTGAAGCCAGCTCACGTGTGATCCTGCTAGAGGATTTGTGACAGTCACCATTTAGGTCCGATGCATTGAAAAGTGGTTGCTGGCTTGTTTTATAGCTGAGAAATTCTGCTAAGAATTCAGCCATGGATGCCTAAGGCATTCTCCAGCTGAAGCACGTTTCTCTGGGACCATTTCTAGCATGGGGATCAGGAAATCTGTAAACTGTGCAGCGTCTTCATGAGGCCAGCCATACTTCTCCACAAGCACATCGAAAAGACTCCAAGGCTTCAACTTCGTAATGTGTCGCAGTTCTCCTGCAAACACAAACGTTACTGGTATTAGAAAAATATCCCTTTACCCAGTAGTGACCAATCCTTGTTTAGTTCTCCGAGAAGCACTATTTAGAAAGATCAGTGCACTGCACGCCTGCTTGAGGCTCTCACAGTGAGTACAGCCAGCAGTGAAACCAAGGAAGCATCATTACACCCAGATAGCACTGGGGCCAGTGTGTTTTTTCCTGTTATCTTTGAATCACAGAACATCTCAGAGGGGGGAAGGCACCACAAGGATCACTGATCAGCTCCTGGCTCCACGGCACCGCTCAAAAATCAAACCCTATGTCTGAGAGCTCTGACCAAATGCTCCTTGAACTCCAGCAGCTCAGCACCGTGCCCACTGCCCTCTGGTGCAGACCCTTTCCCTGAGCCCTTCTCCCGCCCCTCCCCTGACGCAGCTCCATGCCGTTCCCTCGGGCCCTGTCGCTGTCACACAGAGCAGAGCTCAGCGCTGCCCTCCGCTCCCTGTGAGGAGCTGCAGGCCTTCCTTCTGTTCCCTCTACACAAAAGCACTCCATCGCGTGCTCGCAGTCAGCAGGAATACTGAAGGCCTCTGCTTTCTCGTCAGCCAACACCCCTGAATCTCACAAAAACTGCTCCAATCTTAATGCACAAGTCTCAAGAGCGCGGGTCATGCTGCCACTCTACGCGACATCTGCCATCAGTGCTGCTGCAACTAGCTGCAAACCAAGCCAAACACAAAGATCTGGTACTGAAGGCTCTTCTCCATCTCTGAGGAGGCCCAGGCTGACTGCTCCCACGCAGCCTCCAGTGCTGCCTGCATCATCTTCAAACCCACCAGAGCACTGAGCCCCACCAAAATGGTGGCACGTGGCCAACCTGGCAGTGAGATTCAGACCAAACGAAGGATGTGACAGCTCTTCTGCCATCAGACTTGGCACTATAGCTACGTGTATCTGCAGGCTGTCAGGACTGACGGGAAAGAAAGGCTCTTCTGACTGCTCCTCCTCCGCAGCCACCTCCCTGCTTCCCAGGCACATATCTGGGCCTCAGCCTCTGTGCGATGCTACAGAACAGCTCTGTGGGCACTTTTTACCCTCGTCGTGATCCTGCACCTTCCTCAAACCACTGGGGCTGCCAGTGGGTTTCAGCCAACATTGGAGGCTGAACACGACTCATCCAGACTCACAGACTGTGTCATCCTGCATGGGGCACGCAAGTCACACTATTTTAAGCAAATCGGTCTGGCAAACTGATTGCTGTCTGCAGCTGAAATCAGCCGCCTGCAACCTGCTGCCCATCACGGGCAACATGATGTCGGCTCTGAGTCTCCCTATATCCCTGTACCCATGGAAGTTCTAGGGCAGCCAAAAACAGCCATGCCCCCAGCCTGCTTCTGGGAGCCTGAGCCAACCGCTTGGCAGTGCCACGTGCCCAGCAGGGCATGTCTGCCACCTCAGCACAGCAGAAGGCTCTCCTCATGGTGCCACCTGAAAAGCAGCTCTCCAGGCACTGTCATAAAGGCTCCAACTCAGTAAGACTGCAAATGGTCAATCCCTGGCAAGAGAAAGAGAAGATTGCTACTGGCAACAGAAAATGGGATGTGCTACCCATGGAGTGCCAGTGCCCTCCTTCCTTTCTGTTCAGTCGGGAAGGAGGGGACTCAGAGGACGGAGAGCAGAGCGTCCTCTGGCGGTTCATGTGGGGATGGTTCCAGTAGCAGTGTGTCCCATGAGTAATGCTGCATCACATCAAAAAAAATAAAGAAAAAAGCCCGTCTTCATCCTTGTATTTAAATTGTGTTGTTTTAGGCACTATATTCTCACGGGAAAAGCCAAACATATCAGAAGGCCTGGAAATGCAACGTCGCCATCCACTTTGTGAATAAAGTGTATCTGCCACACGTATTCTCCCCTGAGCAGTCCTGTGTCTTCTTCTTTCCATGCTTCGGTGGCATAAAATGCACATTACTGCACACTGGGATGCTGGTGTTTGGTGGCTGTCACTATGACACCTGAGGTCATGCTCTTCACATACTCCTCTTATTTTGTAATACGGGGGTTGAATTCAGAACACCCAGGAAGCTGGGACCAATGTGCTTGGGCAGCACAGGGCTGTCAGCACCACAGATGGGAGCTTCCTCCCAGAAGTTCTGTGAAGGCTGTAGAAGCACTTAAGAAGCTGGGAAGCAGTAACAACAATCTCTGTGCAGTCCAGACTTCAAATGAACATTTAAGTTCCACAAAGGGGATTCTGGATTCTGGTTCCTGCCCCATCATTTCACTGTTTTGCACATTCCTGGACTCCCTGTCCTTGATTTGTCTATCCCAGGTAGCAGCAGCTCTTCAAACTCATTGCCCACAGGTAGGAAGTGCTGCTGTATGCCCACAGCTGCATTTCCCTGGTGCTCACACTGCTGTACAACAGCTGTTCCCAGCTTATCCACTGCTGTCACCACTCTGTAAAAACCCAGCAGCCCCCCTCCCCTCCACACTGAAGTCCTGGGCTTTCAGGCTCCCAGTAAGGCAGCCACTGCCACTCTGCCTCCGTTACCCCCACAAGACCACAGTAGCAGCCCAGCAGCTGCCACATGCAGCTCCTGTGGCCACCCCCGACCCCACACACTTCGTGGCCCAGCGCTGGCAGGACAGGCCGTGGTGCTACCCCAGCAGCTGATATGGAGAGGAAGGGAAGAACACATGGAGAACTGCACGAGCCCTCCCGTGTAAGAAGCACGTCTTCCAGAGCAGCCTGGGCAAGTATCAGGCACTAACAGCTAGCATGTTTGTTGGGGTTAATTCTGTTCCTCTGTGTAGTGACACACAGCTCAGCTATGGCCCACGGCAGTGGAGGCGCTCACAGTGAGACAGCACAGAGCGGCCACAGTGCTGTGTCCTCATCCATCCTCCTGCAGAGGAGGATGCAGAGGAGGTCCCCGTGCACTGCTCTGGAGTGCTGCCCTGTTGCACACGCTGTGTCTGCAGCCCACAGCCTCCCTGTGCATCCAGTGGGTGCCAGCAGCGCACACCGACAGGAGGGCACAGCTCTGTTCCAGCAGCTCACAGCTGTGCACAGCTGACATTTACATGGACATCTGACGACAGACTCACACAGACATCTGTAACGCTCACATGTTGCTGAGTATGTCCCAAAAGGAATTTTAAATGAAATACTGAAACGAGTACTGCAAATTTTCACTTTCCTTGAAAAGCCAAGTTCACACCTGAATAATTTCCTAAGAAGAGCTCTCCATTAAATGGAATATGTCTCCAGTACCCATAAATGCACACACTCTCCTTTTGGATAGTATTATGCTTTAAATTAGTGTTGCATAAATACCGTTACCTTTTTTGGTGAAAAACTCCTTGGAATATTTCCCCAACATAGCGTATTTTCGAGGGATTTTTCCCAGCAGTTCAATGATCAATGCTATGTGGTCTGCATTGGAGAACATTGCCAGCAAAACAGAAACATACAACAGTTTAATCAGTACGGTGCATGCACACACTAACATGGCCCGGTACAGACAGAAATAGATTGAGCCTGGCAAAAAGACACACGCGGCGCCCCGTGGTTGTTCAGAAAGATGCTTTCAGCAAAACCTCTTTCTCTGAACCACATCTGAGTATCGGCCGCCACGAGCAAGTTCTGCTGCATACTTTAGACGTAGCAAATAGTTATTTGTCAGGAGGTTTTGGTTTAAAAAAAGTAAAATAAAAAATCAGTTTGTCACAGATTTCCACGTTTTGCTTTTCAAAAATAAATTATTGCTGCACGATTTTAGAAAACCTCCTCAGCGGGACGTGCTACCACCAGCAACAGCAATTCCACTTCTGTCTGCATCACGGCACCTTCCAAAAAGAAGAGGTACTACCTCTGCGATTGAAGAATTCCCGAGAATACTTTCCAGATAGAGCAAAGTGCCTTGGGATATTGCCTAGCAGCTCTATGATGTGTGCTATGTGGTCTATGAGGGAGAGAAAAAAAAGGATACGGGAGTGGAAGGGGCAGGGAAAGGATGGGATAAAAAGAAGAGGAAAGAAACTGGAATTAGTAAAAAATCAGAAATAGTTTCAAATCAACAATGTTTGCAGCAAATCCATGCAGAGGTTTCCAGGATCAGCAGAGCTCTGGCATCATTAGTAGCACTTAGGAACAATGAATGATGCCCACGTTACCACTGCAAAGGACACTTACAAGCAAACAAGCATGAGAATGGACAGGTATACAGATGGAAGCAGGAGTTAATTCTCATTTTAAAAAAATTAGTAATCGTCTAATTCAGATAAAAATACACAATGTAAACATTATTCCAGTGCCAATCTTAGAAAATGCTACGAAGTTCAAATTCTAAGCTTCTTTTCTAAACTAAGATGTTGTTATTCTCAGTCAAGTTTCCACACAAATGCAGTCTTACAAGAGGGGCAGTTTAATTCCTTCAGGCAGTTGCTAAGTAGATGAATATCTGCAGAAGGGACTTTTTGCCCACCCACAGCTACTGATGGAACTTATAACTAAAAAGAAAAAAATTGTATTTATGTTCTGAAAACAATGTGTATGCACAATTCACTCAACAACAAAAATTAAGCCCACTGTAAGCTTGCTAGAAATTTAAGAAGAAGGTGGAAATGTACAGAAACACGCAGTATCTCAAAGGGTTCATACCTTCATCTCTGGAATAGTCTTCACCAGAATGCGGTTCGAACAAATAATCTCCAGTTGCTAGCTCAAATGCCTACAATGTAACATAACATAACAGACATTTTTATGGGTATTTTGGAAATAAAGCTTTTAATCTTAAAATGTCAGCAATACATCGATCGGAACAAAGAGGGAACCAATGCTCCAAAGGCCTGCAGTGGGACCTGAGGCTCTGCAAGGGCCACTCACCTGGGAACCAGGGGTCCTGCGGTGCAGGACAGCACGAACCTGGGCTCTGGAGGGAGCCCCATGCTCAGCACCAACCACCCCAGCAGTGCACCCCAACATGGGCATCTGCCTGCACAACCAGGATGAGTGGAGGAGCCGGGCAAGGAGCGTGGGACCACAGCCTAGCCAGCCATCCTGGGCCTTAGTTGTGCGCAATGCGTGCAAGTTAATGAAGGTGAGACAGGTTCTTCTAAATATAGGGGAAGGAGCTATGCTTGTACCTGAAGGCTAATTATCTGTCAGAGATAAAAATGCCAAGAACTGAAATAAAAATGCCTACACAGGAAATAAAATTCATTTTGAACTATAACTAATGACTTCAAATTATCAAACAGGGTAAGCTTCCTTGTTGACTCTAAATCTACAACAGTTTCTAAACATCTTTTTAATGAATCTGAAGTCATCAAAGTAAATACTGCAGTCGTGGAGTAAATAAAATACTGAGGCTCAGACTGACGAAGGAAATCAGAACAGACCGACCCCTTTGGGTCACTGTGGTGCTCCAAGGGGATGCAAACCCTGCAATAGGTCAAGACAAAACCTATGGGCAGTGTTTCTACTTACGAGCAGAGTTTCTCCTTTCAGATGTAATGCGTATTAAAAGCCTCAAAAAGAATAAAATAGTTATGGGAGCCTGTACTCGCGTACAAATATGGACCTGATCTGTCAAGCGTTTCTCTTTCTGCTCAGGATCACCAACTACCCAGGCAGCCACAGGAATCTAATTCTTTCCAGGTGGTGTAAATATCAAGCTGCTTTCCATCTCCAAGACCAGCAAAACCATTCCAAAAATCAGACAGAGCTTGCTGGCACAGCTTTAGAAGGGAATTTCACTCCGTCAGAACATTTACTATAAAATACTTGTTTCCTGAAAATATACATTGTTCTGTTCCAATCCATGATCTGGAGTTGTTGAATCACCTGTAAATTTAACCTATTTATTGGCACTTGACTTTTTCAAGCTGTGAAATGCAGAGTGATCCAAGTGGGCTACAGCCAGAACAATTCACTGCCATCTCACACAGTGGTTGAGAAAGCAAAAATACCCTTTGCTGACATTTTTGTTGATCCTACAAATGTCTTTCATTTCTGAACACATTATCACTCACAAACAGTCATTCATATTTTTTCTTATTCTACTCTGAGTTCAAGATCAGGAGTTTTTATTTTACAGCTTAAAAAAAATAACCTGTGAGACTTCATAAATTATTATCAACTATTCAAACTGAAGAAGTTTTTAGGATAGCAAGGAGCTACACTTGGCCAACCCAACACGGCCAACCCAACACTGTTGCTCTCTCAAGATGTGACTGAGAAGTCGCAAGTGTCCCCTCTGCACCCAAGGGAAATACCTCCATTTAAAAACCAGAGCTAACTTTCTTAGCATACATGCTGAAGGAGCTGATTTCTGAGGACATTAAGAAACTTATCTCTCTTTAACACAGATTCCTAGAGAACAATGTAAATGTAGCTGAATTTAGTCACAAAGGTGAACTGCAAAGGAATACTGCTTCTGTCCCGAATAAAACGAAGTATTAATAGCTCAAAACGTCTGCGTGGGATTAGAATGATTAAATTGGAAAAACTGTAAAAACCTTTCAGAAAGAAGCATAAGAAGCAAGCATTCCACAGCAGCACGCAGAATTTTAGATCAGATGGTATTTAATGAGAGCTGCAAGCCCTCACAGATCTGGGATATTTATACCACTCTCCTGCTGAAGAGAAAATAAAGCTTTTCGAAATTGTGATGCTGCTCCCCTTTTTCTGTTGTTGTACAGCTTTGACTCCATGCCCGGGATGGGCGGAACCTCAGACATTTCAGTTTGTGACCCTCCTTACAGGCCTCTGTACCAAAACCATAACAACTCCAGAGTCAGATGCACGCAGGGACAGCCAGAGACATCCTTGCCCTCTGGGTGCTGCAATAAGTATCTGCAACAACACTCTTAGCATTCGTGCAGGAAAACGCCTCACATCTGGAACCACTGGGCAATAGGTTCCTAGAGCCCTGCAGGGCAACAGCCAGTTCATACGACAAATGGCATTCCCAAGACTTCCTTTAAAGAAGAATAAATCCTTGACCAAGGTTTTTACCATAAAGTAACCGAAACAGAGTCAGCATGAAAAGCATGTTGACAAGTAGGTAAACAGCTGAAAGGAAAATGAAACCTCTGGGTGGTAACAGTCACAGTTCCCCTTTTTAAGCTCATGTCCACAATGGGTGCACCCAGCAGTGTGTGCAATTACTGCCACCCAAAGAGCAGCTGGGATTCAGAACTCTGACAGTACTCAGGTGCTCTGAGCACTTTTCAGACCCAACCGTAGGTACAGAAAACCACCTAATTCACAACTGGGTGGCAATCTGTGATAAAATCAGGACCCAGAGACCCAACAGATGGTAAGAAGAGCTGAGGATGGCAGAGCACTCAGGCAATGCTGCAGGCTGAGCATGTGCAGTGCTGCAGTAACCAGCACATGGCAGAAGGGATTGTTCCCCTCTCCTCAGCACTCACACCCACATCTGGAGACCTGTGACCAACCTGGGAACACCAAGACAGGAGAGAATCCAGAAAGATCAGGGGAAAACCTCTGAGATGAAAGGCAAAAGGGGGATTTACTTGTTGTACTCCACTTCCTGAAAGGCAATGATTGAAAAGAAGGGTACAGGGAAAGGACAACAGGGAATGGAAACAGGTGGCAATATGGGAAATTCCAACAGGACACAAGGAAGAAGTCCTATGAAGAAACTGGCAGTGCACTGGGATGGGCTGCCTAGAAAGGCTGTGGAAATGCCATCTGGCCAGGTACGTGACATGCAATGGGATGAGGCCCTGAACAACCTGATGTAGCCTCAACATTCAGCATGGTTCAAGCAGGAGGCAGGCAGACCACTGAACCTCAGGAAGTCCCTTCCAATCAAAATATGCCTATAATTTCTATGGTCCTGCAAATGCAAGCTAGCCATACTAATGTAATTACTTTCCTTTTCAAAATATTCATTTTTTTAAAATACATTTTTTGACAAAAACTCAAGACTTTGAATTTATCATCCTTTCTTTCTTAATGCTGACATTTACCTCAACAGAAATCAGTACTGCAACTATTATATGTAGATAACAAATGAGACAAAGCACACTTAACATATGGCACAAAAGCCCAAGGCAATCAGCCCTCCTTGCTGACTGCATTGGCAATTGCTACTCACCACTTTTCTAAGGTTATCACAGAAAAACAGTCTAGACTGTTTCTCACCATCTGCAGATGGAGAACATTTCAGATAAATGGTCACCCTGCTGCTTTTGTAGGCTCTGGAGAGGCTACGATTCCTTCCCTGCCATGTGGCTGCATATGAACCCACCACAATACCGAACTGTTGGCACTGCTATCGTACATTATGGATCCATGTCTAATCACACAATTGGAAATAGCTACATTTTCAGTGTATGACAGCTGTGTACTCAATCTGGTGATTGAAAATGGCTGCATGCCTCGGGATACATGTCTGGGAGAGGACTAGAAGAATAATTCACTTGGCTTTCATCAGGCTCCCTCAATTTCTCTTATGAAGCCCCAGCTGAAAAAGGACAACAAACTATAGGCCAGGATTATTATTTCGACAGACAAAATCCAGCTCTTGGACAGAGTTTCAGCTGAAATGAGGAGCTGTGAATGAGAAGACTTACTGCTTCAAAAACAGGCTTAGATTTAAAAATGCTGTTCCACAGGTATGTGGGAGCACGGAAACAAAACAAAACAAAAAAAAAGAGCAACAAGTTTTTTGAGACAAGTACACCAGATAACAGTTTGTTCTCCCATGAACATATTCTGAATATCCAGGCAGTGAAAAAATATAAAAGGGATTTTGCATGGTTGTTGCTTGATAAGAAAGGCCAGACACACAAACACAGACATGCAAGGGATGCTCAAAAAGGAAATAGTTTTCTGTTCTTTGATAAAACTCCAGTCTCATAATCATGCAAATGCTGAGTGGCTGCTCTGGAAACTTAGTTCCTTTGAAAAACCACTTTCTTCTGAATGTTTCAGGTTGTCCACCCACCACCTTCAAAGCAAAAGGGTGTACAGTGATTAATAACAGCATTTTGTACTGTATCTGCCTACTGAAAAATATGTGCATAGTGACTTGAAGCTTTTCTTATCTCTGGCATTTTTTGTTTTCCATTTTTCCTCAAAATACTGCTTCTGAGCAGACCGCTGCACGCCATCACACCCACAGCACTGTGCTGCTCACACATACTGACTGCAATGGCACTCATGGTCCCATGGTGACATGGCTGATTCCTCCCGCTGACAACACAACACAAAGAGCAGGTAAGCACAGCTCTCTCTACAGCCCATGTCAGAGGACACGATACAAAGAAATAAGCAAGGGGCTGAACAACAAGCATTTATATGTAACATCATAAGCCTGCTTCATATCATACTGTGCTCGTTCTTCCTGCTGTCCTCAGAGCTCTCTCATATGGATAGAACAGCTCACAACAACAACAAAAAAACAACCTATAAGCTTGCTTGCCTGGTACCGCAAGCTGTAATAGCATTCTCTCTTATTATGGAAGCTGTTTGCCTGCCCTCTTCTTCATCTCACTCTGGCAGTATTTCCTTTAATCATTTGTATTCTCTTCAGATAGAAAAAACAGCAAGTACAATTCTCTCCTTCTCTGACCTCCTGCCCATCTACAACTATGACCTATTAGCTGCTTCTCATTTTAAAAACAAGATATTTCAGGAACCACAACTTACCACAGAAGCCACCTCAGATGTGTTTTAAAAACACTTTGTCTTGTT